AGGTGATGGCAAACGAGAGCAGAAGGTGGCAGAGGAGGCTGAGGAGGAGGCAGAAAAGCTGCCGGTCAGATTGTGAGCCAAGGGAGGAGGGTTGCAGCTGCTGTGACAGCTGCACACTTCCCAATATTATTCGCCGGGCTGTTCCTATCCTCCGAATGGTCCCTCACATCGACTCTCCAGGTGCTGCTAGCATCGGCGCCTCCAAAAATCCTTCTTTGTTCCCTTCGGAGCGCGTTGGACCCACCTTATGCGCGATCTGTTGCGTTCAATATCGATCGAGAGTAAATTTCGTCGATTTTATTTCCTCCTGTGACGTGGAACAAATGTATCTCAAAAGCGTATCCAACGTAGGATTGATTTTTCGAAGAGGTATTCGATTCTGAATGTTTGTATCGAGGGTCCTTTATTCTTCGATGCTCGTGTGGAAATCGAAATAGTGTCGATGGATCAAAAGAAATTTTTTGTATCTTCTGGAGTACTTCGTAACGTTAGATCACGAATTGTTGCAGGGAATATCGATATATCGGTAATAATAGGTAAATTAGGATGGGTTTATTATATTGTATAATATGGATGATTTATTTTACAATTGTTAAAAGACCATTCTGCGTAGAAATATTGAAATCCATACCTTCCTGAATGGTTATAGATGTTTAGAATTTTCGATGATTCATATTTTAGAATTTTTTCATTATTCTATGCTTGAGATTATTTCATCGCATGGAAGATTCATCGATAATAAAATTCACTGATTCCTTCGTCGTCATACGAAGATTCGTCTTACTCGATTTCTGAAGAGAAATTTAACTCTACACCCTTTGCAATCTTTATATTCTTAATTTTTCCTTATTCTACGCGTACGTGTAGTAATGCACATCTTACATAAAATAGCGAATATTTATCTTTACAACGTTCTCTTATTCTGCGTTTAAATAGAATAATCCAGATCTTATGTAAAATAGTGTTTCATTGTCGATTATCTTTAAATCTAAATATGCACGTCTCGAACCTATTCTCGTTCCAAGCTGACCAGCCTTGCAGCATAAAAAGCACGCTGGTGCACCACGATTATTGCGTAACCATCAACTTATTCAGGTCGGTCGCTCGACCTTTCCCCAGTATCTACCTGTGCCGGATGCAAAACTGGACTAAACGTCAGGGGAACGCGTGCCAGCCTTACGTGTCTGCTACGAACGTAATCGCGATTTCCCTCGCGGTTGCAGGATGTTCGTGCACCAATATAGACGGAAGTCCATGGAGAAATCACGAGACTGTCAGTTCCAAACTCGTCTACGATAAGAAGGTGTATCGTGGCTCAAACGTTTGTGGTATCGTGCACGCAACTTTCTATTTTGCTCGTCGCTTTGAAAGGTGACGATCGACTATCGTTGATACATTGTACATATCTGTGCATTTATTAGGTAATTTAAAAACGCAAAAATCTACGGAGTGCGCATAATATGCAAACAGTTTTGTTGCTATTGGTTGATAAGGAGCTGAATTTAAAAATTGTTCGTATGAAAAATAATCGTTATATCGTGGTATTTCTCTGTGATCTTCGTTCTTCACGCGTAATTTAGTTGTCTTTCATGCACATGACCAATTTCAACGGATGATAAAGGGATGTGGATGAGAGGACAAAGGGTAGTTTTTTCGTGAGTTCCGGTTCCATTAGGATTAAATAAGCTGACACATACGTTTCTGATAAGTCAGCATCTGGGGGACGTGTTTGGAAATCGGAGAAACTGGTTATTAAGGATATCGGATCCCTTGACACGAGAAACGTTACGCACCAATTACATTAGTGCGCGATATTCTATCGCAAAAGTGGCCTGAATTGTGCTGTTGGAAAATGCAACGGTCTGCGACTACGGTTTTGCTTTTCGCGTTTTGTGATTCGAACGGTTAATGGACAGAAGTGATTTTTCACCTTTAACGGTGAAATCTTCTTGACTTAGCACATCTGGCTTTTTTGCAATCCTCTTTGAAACAAAACACGAGTGATTTTTTAAATGTCAACGTAGTGAAATCTCTCTGAATTAACGTGCTCTATTTTTTCGCAATCCTCTTTGACAAATCCAGCCTTGTGACAAAACATTCAACTTCGACATTTCTGTTCACATTCTAAATAGTATAAAGTCACTTTATTGACGTCTTAGGAACAGGAATCTGTCGTCTTTAAGACATCGTGTGATGTATTTTGAAGTGTTTATTTTAAGATGTCAGATTTTTATAAATATCTTATAAAAGATATTTTATCAAATTTTTCCTAAAGAAAAAAATAATACAAATTCATTTTCCCGTTTAACATCTAAAGGAAGGGGAGTCAAACGTAAGCTGGTAGCATTCTAGAAATGCAAACAAAAATCTGTGAAAGAGAATTTCGAGGGAGAACTGTCGAGACTCGTGCAAGTTTACCCCGAAGAAAGAAAGATTTTGATCTAGAGAGAAAAGAGGGGAAAGACACCTGCCTGGCGTACAAGAAGGGTCGGGAAGGTGCATGATCGTGAATATCAGTCAGTAAAATTGCAGTACGTCTTCAAGGTATTAATGCGACCTGACATGGCACACCTGTTGCAAACTTCAAATAAAAGAATCCTCGAGTATACAAATTTCAAGACGGCATTAACATTGTCTCCTATTCTTTCCTTTGAAAACAAAAACTTCAAGTAAAGTAATAGGTATGTAAGTAGAACAGTAAATGAACGGAAGTATTCTCGATAAAACGTATCCAGTCAAGGTGAACAATGCTATTAATGGCCTGGTCGACGGTTTTAAATAACAATTCTTACAATTCACTTCGACTACACTCATCGCAACCTAAAAGTAAAACCATTAGTTTGGTAGGAATTTTTGCAAATCGCATGATACGTAAAATTGGAATATTCATATGATTTTCTTATAAATTCCTTGAGATAGTGCTTAAAAAATAAATAAGAAAGTCTACAAAGAAGCAATAGATATTCTTTCAATTCATTACAGCTTTTTAAATAGATTTCATTGTTCTCAACAGTGTAATTGCATAGCGTTAGGGGTTACCATAGCACGAAGCTGAAATATGCGCAAGAGCATATGTCATGTTAATTAACAGAGTCGACAAAAAGCTGTTAGAGAAGGACGTGCTTCGAATTCGACATGGATCGTTCCCCTAAGCCCTAAAATATACACACCCCGCAGAGAAGGGCGAGACACTCATAGTTTATCTGATGGTCACCTGGAATTTTCGAAAAAAACAGGAACAGATGGTGTAACCTCCGAACTACGCGGGATCTGGTAAATTAAAGATTCAAATCTTTCGTTCCTCGAACTTTCTGAATGATCATAATGAATACCAACTGAAAGGGTGAAGTCACTGGTCAAAACTGTGTCATTTAGACAAGATAGGATAACGAATGGAAGAACTGACTAACGCGTTAGGTATTAGAAAGCAGATCTATGATATCGGTGATATAAATTCTTGGAATTGTAAAACTCTTTATTCTTTTATTTCTGACTACCATTATAGATTCAAATTGGGAAATTGAATTACAAATAAAAATTGTTCGAAACGACGTTTCACCCTTTCGTAATTACCATTATCGCCACTGTTATTACATATTATTATATCCAAAAATGACCTTACCAACTGTATATTGTCTTTTCCACGATTTATTTACATTCATATCCGTTATATGGTCCTATTACTACACTCTACCTCACGTAACAAAATGAAGTTTTCATTTTACTATCATCAACATACCATAAAAGCGCAAAGAGACGAGGTATTACAAAGGTGGCCCGTTTTCGACTGTCCTGACGAGATAGCGTCTCACGAAGATCGAAGGCGGAGTCTTCGCGGATGTTCCTTGTTAGAACGCTGGCGTACCGGTTCGTGTAGCTGGCCAGAAGGCTCGATTCCGGCCTGGTGGGGGGAAGGTCGAAGAAGGCCGCAGCTGGCTAGATCTTGTCCGCGTACTTACATACAGCTGAACGCGGCTGAATGTAAGGAGTAAGGAACATGCCTCGCCAGTCGGGCTTTACAATGTCGTTTTCCTCCCCACCATCTCGCCAGACCTGCAGTTGGCAACACGAGTGTGTCTTTACTGATCACGAGTCGCTATCGCCGCGGACAAATTCTTTGTCTCCGAAAGGGCGCCAGTAAAAGTACCGCTCTGATAGAAACCGTCTCACAACCTGTCTCCAGGTCATTACTTAGATCCTACATCGATATAATTTGATTAGTCGTTAGATTGAGAACTGTAACGCAAAGGGAAATTCAGGTAATCTTTTCTATGGAGACACTTATCTTAGTAGAACTTACAGTTTGTGACATACTTTATAAAGATTTATTTTCTTTATCACTGGATCTTATCTTCCATTGAAATTTATTATTGAATCTACATATTTGTTGAATTCTGTAGAAAAATGATTCGTTCGTTGAAATCTCCTGTAAAAGATAAGTGATATTTGAAGAAGATTCAAGGATATCGTAGTTTGTTGCATATATTATATGATATTCTGATATAAGAATGACTTTTATTGGGCATTTTATCAAGCCGTTGCGAACGTCCCAGGTAACCTTAAACGATTTCTAAACCGCGATCCATGAAGTCAGCGGCGACTGTACTTGTGCCACATATCCGATAATCTCTTTCACACGTTCCTTCATTCACCGTCTCTCCCTGGTCTCTGTCCTTGTCTCGCGGATACTATTAGGCTTCTCTCGTTCTCTGCCTTCCCTTCGTTCACTGGAACGAAGAAAGAGATAAGAAGGCAACGGACTCCCTCGACGGACAGGAGTTTACATCTCTGAAAATTATATCGCGGTCGCGGTTCATCTCGCGTGAATCCTGCTGATTTTGTCTCGTTCCATCTCGCATAACGAACCACCCCATTGGCCATTTTCCATTGTGTCTGTCCTCGTCGCGCGCTCATCGCCTGTCGCTTTCTATCGGATCCGCCAATCAGCGCGCTTGGTCCAGCGGGCATGACGCGACCGTTCCGCAGAGAGAACCGACCGACCGGACTGCGAACAGTCTGTCAGTAAACTTCGTGGCGTGCGTTGGCTGGCGCGCGTGCTAGCAGACCGTTTCCATGCGTGTCACGACACGGATACAACGCCAGCCGATCTCTCGAAACGCTTATTAATATTTATAAGCAGCCAGTTAACTCTTCGAAGTGAATTTTTTCCTGAGGTTCGTGAAGATTGAGATTCGCGCTGAAACAAATGCCGATATCGGTCCATCGTCGTATTGTTTTCTTGTGTGTTTTACCCGTTTTTTAAAACAGTTGCGACAGTGTCGAAGCATCGTCGCGCATTGAACTCACTCGTTTAGAGACGCATATACGAATGTAGTAGTATTATTGCATATTGTATCGTTGAAATTTTGGACGAGAAGAAAAAAAGATGGTGCGTGGTCTGTCGCAGTGGACGAAAACCTTGAGCTTCCCCGCGAGGGTGTCCCCCCAGAGGCCTGCCAAGGAGTCGAAGGGGTTTCATGTGAGCCCCAGTGCTAGCCCCACGTCGCCACCCAGCCCGATCAACGACAACATGGACAAGGCGCCGATTATTACCGATGAGGTTAGATTATATCTTTTTTTTTATTTCTAACATTGCTTGTCGCGGTTTGTAGTAATGCTTTGAAAGCTTAATCCTTGCAATAATAATAGGTTCGTAAGAGGGAAAACTGGCAAGGCGCATTGTGTTGTGTGTATTTACAGTAGCTCATGAAAGAATTCAAATACTTACCATAGAAAACTTTTGTATATATATCGTATGTGTTATGTAAAACATTTTGAAATTTCATTAGCGCTGTCATAAGGCTCGTTTATTATCATTATATTGCAAATTGTATACAATTAAATTACAAAATGTATACTGTAAGCATACGATACTTAGTAAAAAATTAATATCATAGCATGAATATAGCCTCACTATATATTGATTCTTTAAATACTTCTGTGATGTAGTATCTTGCATCTTCTATATGTATTTGCATTTTCAAATTTGTTTCACTTTATCAATCTATCTCAATACATTGCTAATGAAATTTCGAGATGTTTTGTATAACATATATATGTAATATATATTCATAAAAGGTTATCATAAATGTTCGAATGTTTTCTTTAGTTACGAATATGTAAACATCCTACGTGAGTCAATGACATTTTAATTTTTGTAGGGTGGATTAGAAACTGTTTTCAATGAAATATCAGAAAGTGTTTTATACGTTGTTTAATTTGCAAACGAATCAAGACATGCCAACTTCCACGTAGGTCATTCCTCGAATATACTGGAGCAGAGTTTCAAGTTTATCGTCATACGTGTTTCAGATAACGGTCTGTTGCTATACGCTTCGAGCAGCTACGGTTAATCGCCGGTTATGCGTTTCAGTTCTCCATGCATTTATATTTGTAACCAGTGGCCCGCGTGATTGTTTACTTTTGTTTGTTTGTGTTAAAAAAAGAAGTTCTAGACGACCATGAAATTAATTTGAAGTATCCCTAATCTTTTAATAACATTTATGGAACAGTTATTATTATAAAAAAAACACGTATTTTTTGTTTTTGAAAAATAAATTTTACTTCCGCTTAATTTAGGTTAGGTTTATCGTTCGTTACATTCAGCTTCACGACTAACCGTGCCGAACAGGCGTGTAACATAATCTTCATGCGAATAAAGGGAAACCGCAGAATGGGGGAAATCTATTATTGGACAAAACGGAAACAGAGGGTTGCGTTTCGATATCGTTTACAAGAGTACCATTCATGATTCTATATCGTTGCAAGCGTTGTTGGCACAGTCTCCATCTTTTGCGTACGCGCCCCTGTCGGAATACGTTGCATATTAGCTCTCTTATCGAACTAAATACACGCATTCGTGGCTATCGAACCGCGAGGGACTCATTTACAACGCCCAGAACAAAACATATAAATCTTGAACACCGAAAAAAAGAAGGGATTTCGGTATCTATTCCTCGAGTGCGTTTGTACAATCTATTCCAAAGTTAAGCGATATTTATTATAGCTTTAGTAATATTGTATTATATTTTCTAAAAACATGCTTCTCCACTAATATTTCCTTTCTATGTATTAGATTGGTGTATATAAAACGTTCTTTTTGAAATGAAATTTAACCGCATATACTATATAGATTCTTCAATGCATTACATGTAAATTTAATCAAAGTAATTTTTACATGATATCCTTTCCTAAAGAATAAGTGCTTTAATTATATTAGATTTCTGAGAAATATCAGTTCAACATAGATATGATGATTTGAAGAACCTACACGTGATTAGTTTCATTTGAGAGGACATTTCATATGCATCAACCTAATATGTGCACAGAATAAGTATTGTATTATAGCAAGTGATTATATTATCCGTTACCATATTCCGACAAACTGCAAAAATTCATTTAGATTATGTAACATAGTTTCATGTTATGTACGATGTTCTTTGATTAAAACAATCACATAACATAACCTAAAGAAAAGGTCGCGTTGCCATGAGACGCGACAGACAGCCTGTTTCAACAGAACCGATACTACGCCGTTCCTTCCAATGTTCGCCGCGTATTTTCCAAAGAGTTTCTAATCATGCCGACAGAGCGACTGATTTATGCCACGACAACCAGCAACACGTTTCAAATTGTTCATCATGTACAAAGGTTTCCGAACCTGGCTTCGTTCACAGGGTCGATCGTCTCTTTATTATCGATTGCATACCGCGACGATTACTGCGCCATAAAATCATCTGTCTCGAGTTAGGTTCAACGTAATCGTTTGCTCACGATCACCGCCCTCTACATTCTTTAAATTGTTCGGCAAATTGTTTTAAAATTACTAGGAACTTTTAATTACGTATATACATATATTTACACTAAATATTTTGTAGCTTCTATGTAAACTTTCTCTACCAACGTAACAATTATAGCCTAATCTCATTACAATGCTAGTGAAGTTGCAAAATGTTTCATATAGCACAGAAATACGCATACATTCGTAATAAATGTACGAATACTTTAGTGAGCTACTATACACAATATCTGGGATTAACTTTGTTCGAATGTGTAATCTATTGGCTATGTTTTCGACCTTTTATCCTCATGTTTTTATGTAACGAAGTAAATGGAATTTATTCATAGGTAAACAAGGGGTCGCTAGAAGTCACTCGACATTGTCACCATGGTCGCTCCCCCTGTCATATTGACCGTGTATTTAAAGAATCGAGTCCATCTCTTTTTGCGGTCGGTTTAATCGTTCCAGCCCCCTCGACGACGCGTCGTCAACACACGTGCGCGGCGTTTACGATTCCTTTTGTACGAACACATTTAAGAACGTTCTCTGTACGCAGTGGCTGGTGGTCGGGAGTGCCAACTTTGAGCAGGGGGCGATTGGGGGAATGCGTTTGTGTAAACACAGCCTCTGGGAAGATGACAATGGCGGCGCGACTGCAGACGGCACGTGCCCCACGTTGAAAGCAACTTTTTTTTCTTTGGCAGGCTAATTCCTGCCACTGGCGTAACTAAATATATCGGATGGCAATAATATCTATTAAAATAATAAGTAAAACAGTATATTCGTAATAATTATCAATAATGCATTTAACATGGAAAGTTTGATAATTGTAATGGCGAAATTGGATTGGAAAGGAAGATCAATCTGTACTCGGGTTTTCTTCTGATAGAAAAACGACCTCTTTCTAAGTTCTCCTAGATAGATACTTGTACTTACATGGACCAGTTTCAAGTATCGCAGTCGGCTTGCTTGATGAACAAACTGGAGAAAGCGAAGCCGCCCGGCTGAATTTATCTAACTGCTCCCACGGAAACGTTCACATTTAAGAGAAATCTGAAATACATAACGTACTTAATCTCTTGCTTATAACATTGAGTTATGCTGGTAACAGAGATTATAGTTTCGATTCAGTAAAAATAGACTGTACTCGCAAGAAAGATTAACTGGAATTCTAACCTCAGTTTTAATTCTTAAATGTGAGAGTCATGAAAAGAAATTATGTACCATTTCATATAACACTTCAATATTATGTCATCTAACAACATTGAATAGCTAACGCTTGCTTAAGTAGATATTAAGGAAATAAGGTAACGAATTTTGCTGTAAAACATTCGATTTATTTCAAACGAACGTAAGAAAGTAAAATACGTAGGGAACATCTTGGAACATTTGTTTTCGTTGTGACGTACACAGAACGGGACCGAAAGAGATAAAGATTTTGGCCGGTCCTATCTTTACAAGACTAGTCGTACAACTTTTACTTAACGCCTCGAGACCAAGCCAAACGGAAACTACGACGAGCAGAAATCTCGCGATAATGGACAAAAGTTTCGCCTCGTAAGTTCGTAACAGAAAACGCGGACTCGCGGTTAAAGACGTCCAAGCGTTCTCCGGCTATATAAAATAAAGCGACGGCGAGAGCCGGCAGTGCCGGCTAAGGAGGGGGCAAGAAAAGGACCGATGAGGACTGGTCCAAAGGCGGGGAAAGGCGACGGCGGAAGCGTGGGAACCGAGCGTAACAGATGGCCTCGGCTGCTTCCGAACCCGCTCGGCCTCCTTCGTGCACCTCCGTGGCATCGACTCTGCTTTCCGTTCTCGCGCGTTTCATACGCTCTATGCATCGATGCAACTCGATTCCTGCAAAAAATAGATTCGTTAATCTATTCCCGTATCATTATTTTTAACATAGGAAAAAGCAGTCTGATTTTTTTAACCTATTAACGAATTGGGAAGACTATTATGTCAGTATATGTTCACTAACAAAGTATTCGCAAGTTCTTTATTTTTTAAAGAAAAAGTATTGAAGGGGTATTCTTAATCCATTAAGAACTAAACAGAGAAATAACGAAGGTTGCATAAACGCAATATTGTAGAGGATTTGATCCAATAACAGATTGTAACATTTTTACTGTCATTGTAAGTCATATATAGACAGTTAAATGTATCAGGAGAAATAGGGTTATATAATTGACTTACGAAGCATATACATACATACCGTTCGATTGAGAGTGGAGAATGGGTTAAGAGGGTAACGATGCAAAACAAAAAGTGCAATAGAAGATATATGAACGGCTAACACACGTGCACAAGCCGGCAACCTTAGCACTTAACCCGATGCTGCGCATCAGTAAGGTCTCAGAAAATATCCAGATACGCTTTAATACGTTTCGAATGTATAAACGTGTTAGTAGTAACGTAAAATGCACATGTCAAATATTAAAAATTAGATTGTACTTCAAACACGACAGTTAAACAATTAGATGTTACAGATTTAAAAATTAAAATTATATTCAGTAGAATTGAAATAATATTATAGTAGACACCAACAATAGAACTACTTTTAAATGATCTGCGTTCCAATGAGCTTAATCAGACCATCGCGAAATTCTAGGTATTTGAGAATGATGACAATACAGGAAATCGTGCCAGAAAGCGTTGCGAGCAAATAATCTTCCGGAAATACATAGCACGGACATGGAGATGATTGCGATTGTGTCACATCATGTTAGTTATCTTTTATCACAGTGGTTCTCTGACATATGGATCATTGAAACAAATTAATAAAGCTCGATATTATCGTGGTGCATTCGTATATGAACACATTACAAGAATTTCTCAGTAGCTCCCTTATATTGTGAATCCAGCTACGTGTCAGGAAAAACTATGAGCTCGTGTTTTAGAGTGTCAGGGAGCTTCAGAGGGGGCGTATTCAAAAGAAAGAACCAATTGTGGTGAGAACTACATATATTTAGTCAACCGTTTAGTTCCAAATGTTACGATTGTTCTATAATTTGTATACTAAATTAGAGTAATCCAAGATATCGTTTTTCATTGCATCATCAACTTTAGTTAGGCATAAATAGTGGAATAGAGACAGAGAAGATACAAATTTGATAGAATCTTTTTTATCTAAAAACAAATTTTTATGCCTTTAGTAAACCTATAAATGACACTCTATTTTGTATTTTTATTTTTATCAACTGTATCTTTGTTTCTATTCCTTTCCTTGCTCTATTCGTCAGAAAACAAATCTCTAATCTTAATAAAATCTTCAACCTATGCGCAACATTTTTGTTCATGTTTCTTATTAAAGAAATGCTAAAAACAACTCAGAGGATTATCTCTATGAGATCTCCATAGGAATTGTATAAAATGACATTGACTGCTTAGTTGCTTCTTCTGTCAGAGTAATTGGCTTTGGGCAATACCACCAAATAAAATATCACCAAATTAGTCTTTCGTGAATTAAGGACCGTCTCCAATCAGCTCTTATTAAGCTACGCATGGAAAGTGACTCCTGGCTCTTGTTCAGGAATGCGAGATAACGCGGATGCTTACAAGTCGTTGTAATTACCGCGTGTTAATTTAAAAGCAGGTCCCCGCCAGCCTTCCCATGGAGGCCACCGCCTTCGTCGTGGCCGGAAGTTGCTATGGTGTTTGTTCCTTCAAGTATTGTTCCCTCCGCGCATTCCATTGTAATGAGAGGCCTTTTTTCTCTCTCCCTCTCTCTCCTCCTCTTTGGTTCTCGTGGTTTTAGAAAATAGGCGTAAGAGACAGTCGGTGATCGCGATAGAAATTACGTTTAACAGGGCTCCTCGAGTGCGATCATCACTTCTTTTCCGGATACTTTTCAACCGGCTCTTTGGTATTGTTAGCCGGGAGTTCCGTAATGTTTTTATCCTTCTAATTGGTAACAATGAATGCATGCTGTTTAAATATAACGATGCCACTGTCTTTCACCGTTATACATATGGCGAAGACAGCTCGTGGAGTAATCAATGTTGAGGATCGTTAGTATTGTGGAAATATTGCTTCTAGATTAGTATAACGTAAAAGTAATTATACGCGTATATAATTAGAAGAAATTTAGGTATATAATTATTTGAGTCGTAACGTACAATTTTAAATCAACAAAATTCTAATTGCTTCCCTTCTTTTCGAGGATTTGTAGTTCGTCTAAACACAGATGATGGAAAATCGATGGTAGATAATTTTCAGTAGTCAATTCTCTGAACGACTGTTATCTTCTCTGCTTATTTACGTAACTATTGGAACGGCCGTTGATATCTCCAACGACGCTGCGTTTTAACGCACAGCATGCACATATATTTGTTTTAGTTGTCGAGATTACGCGGAAAGACAAAGTGATAGATCCTCCCTGAGCTGAAATTACAGATCAGAGTGAGCCATATAACATTCGGTTGGAATTTAAAAGTTTGTAGATTTCTATGGTTCGATAAGATAGCAGAAAGGCGTGTTCGAGATATGAAAGGCTATCGGTAGCGTTTTTACTCGGAATTCTATCATTCGAACATTCTTCAACACAGCATCGGCATAATGTTATAGTCGAAATACACTCGCTGAATATATACGAGAAACAAAGTACATACATATGTATTTATTAATTCATTAGAAGCGATAAATAAACTTATGGAAACGAGTCATTGTCTTTCTTAAATTGAACATTAAGGTAATCAGTAAACTAATCAGAACCGTAGCTTGCTACGTGTGTCTGATTAGTCCGTCTCATGCAAGGCTTAAGTATATCGAAGACAGTTAATTACTTATGAACATTTATTATCAACCTAACGAAACAATAATTTAAAAAATGAATTCCGGAAACGATCGTGAGATTGATTTATTCTTTTTTTATTACAGTATTATGTTGAAACGTTATTGTTCTTTCCAAGGAGAATCATTTCGATGGTATTACCGACTAGAATTAATACTTTCCTAGTGGAGGAGGATACTAAATCATTAAACCGAGGAGCTGCAACAACTATTTGGAGAAACCGGTCCGTTTGAAATTAAAATGGTCTCGTTGAAATTCTAGTTGTGGTCGTTCACGGGTCGTGAACTCTCGGAGCCCTTAAATCCCACGTTACAATTCTTCGTTCGGTCTGAAAGTCGTAGAAACAAAGAAACGAATGTCCCATTTTTCTAATACCGACAGAGGTATCTAGCAGGAGAAATGAAACTTTCTTCTTTCCACTGACTTTCCTCGTTTCAGTAAAGAAACCAGTGAGTCTGATCTTAATTGCGACGATCCATTGTATGTGTGATTCGTATTTTAAAGCATCGTAGAAACAAACAGAATTTCGTTTCTTTTCGACTCTCTCAATAATCAAGTTGAATTATTTATTTCAGTTCGTTGCCTTTTTCTATTATCTTCCAATGAAATAACGCGTTCGACGAAGATTGAAGAAGGTCAAGCTTCGTTGTGTTTAATTTTTTAATTTACATTTAGAAGCAGAAATTTTGTTTAAAGAGAAGAAAAACATATTTGACCTTGTAAATAATCTTGATAATATCTTGTCTATACTTTCTCATCATATATTTATCCAGCGATACATTATAACTAAACAAACAGAGCGATAACTAAACAAACCTTTGAATCAGTATCTTCTACAATACAATTTATCATCCAATGCTATTATCAATAAACTCAACGACTTTGTTAAATACTACAATCAAATCGATAATACTTTCTACAAACAATAGATTTCGTAGGGTTCGCAAAGTACGTAGATACGCTTTCACCTGTGAAAAGAGATTCGCAAAACAATTCCAATCTGAAAGGATGGTAACTAGAACGAAGGACATTCCTGGAAAAAAAACGGGACATGACATCGTGCGAAATTCACGGGTCACGAGAATTACTCGGAAATCGTAGAGTGCCATCCCCACGACCGCTAATTTATGGGATTCGAAGTGTTGCCGGTGTACGGCCGAGCCCAGAGACCATTTCGTGGCCGACAGGAAGTTTTCCTTTCGCACGCGATCGTGTCTTGCTCTGGTCCGTGTGATCGATCCGCAAATAGCTACGGGAAATTTAAATTTACCGGACGATTCGTAATCGTTGAACTTTTGCACATCTCGATCACAAAACGCAGAAATCTATATCATTCGCTTGCTTCGCGGAAGAAGATTTTGTGCAAGTCTATTCTATGCAGAAATTTTAAGCTATCTCCCGAGGATAATTTTCATCGTATTTTTAAAACACGTTTCGAAAGACAAATTTTTAATTATTTTCGTTATTATACTATGGAAAGAACGAAAGAATCTATACAAAATACATATTGTTTTTTTTCTTCAAATTATACAAATATCTTTTTAACGAATTTACAATAATTCTTGAATCAAATACCCTTTAACGAGTAACATATTTAAATTGATATCAAGTTTTAGTATTCAAGTGTATCCATTTGGTCGATGGTCTAAAGTTTGTACATGGTATTGTACGTGTACGTATATTGATTGCGATAGTTAAAGAGGCGATTTGTAAATCGTTGAGATGTGATTTCGTAATGTATCATTCATAGCGTATAATATTGCAGAAATACTAATTATTGCGATTGAGTGAGAAGTTGAGAAATTCTTTGTTTCATCCTGTAACTTCATGCTTCCTTTCTCATTTTTGTTTTCTCAATAAAAGAAACAAAAAGTTTTAGGCTAAAGAAAAATTTAACCGTTGCAAATGTAATTTTCACTAAAATTTGTTTCACTGATAATTTGATAACCACAATATTTTGCCTATATCGAAATAGCGAGTTTTGCGAAATCGATGAAATTTCTTCACGGTTTCGAAACGGATCAACGGGAGCAGGAATTCGGAAGATTCTATGTATATGTTAATCCTTGGTCATCGAGTTGTCAAGGTCGCGCGGTTTCATGCCGACGGAAAAAATGAGATTCGCCCGTTGGATTCGAAATGCGTAACCGTCACATCCATGCATCGCTAATATCAGCAGAGGATTTTTCGAATACCGGACACTCTCGTCCAACTGCTTTCCGTTTCATTAAAATACTGCAAGTTCTTGTCCGATGTGTTGGTCCTCCGATACTTTTCCTCCAACAACCGAAACGATTCCTATCCTACGCTTTTTAAAACCTCTTAACATTTTGAGAAACCCTCGACAATAATACAACGATTCTTACCTATTTCTGGCCAGAATTCTTTATACGTAAGATTTTGTTTAAATTTCTATCGAAAATTCGTTTCGAAATGTAGATAAACAGCCACGCACAAAGGTGAAGTATCAAAGGAAAAATACCAAAGTGATCAAACACATCGAATTTGCAAAATTCCAAGGATCTCGAATATACGAACGATCGAACAGATAAATCAGAATAATGGGGAAAACGTTGATAGACAAATCGAGGCGAATTTTTCAAGGAAATCTAACTCTTATCTTTCATTCGTCGATATTGGAATAGGGGATTTTCACATGGCGGACCGGGTTAGAAAATTCCTGCAGGGCCGCGGAGATGATGGTCGTCCTCGAGAATAAGTGGAACGTACGCGAACATCGTGTCCGTTATTTCGCCGTGACGTCACGACGACTTGTAACCGCTGTAACAGCGCCATGGAGAGAGACTAGCAGTGATGTCAGCCTCGCGATGCTCCATGTCGGTATTCTAATTCGCCGATCACAGCGTTATGGTGTTTCCTGGAATAAAGGACATCAGCCAGAGCCTCGAATCCATTTGCATTCGCCTGTTCGTCGCCGTTTGTCCAGTCAGAGAAACATCGTTTATCATTGGTTGGAAAAAAAAAGATGCGATCGAGAGGATTTCTTGAATCGTTGTATCGGTATTTGATATTTCAAGACGCATCGTCGTATTATCGAACTTTCGACCTTACGTAACCGACGCTTTCGGTAATACGATTTTCCGTTGCTGTTGCGCCGCTTAGTTTCCCTGGTGAAAGCACCGTCTCGTTTTGACGATATTACGGAACTTGCGCAACGCGAGATCGTTGGCCCCCGCGGCTTAATTGGCAGCTCTTTGTTTTAATTAACTCGCCGCCGGCCTTCTTTTCGATTGTTTCCAACTCTTCTTAATGGCACACGCTCCACCAATGATGTCGGAGTCGTGTCATACAGAATTATTATCGTGCCAATTAAACGTAATGCACCAAGTTCACTGCCAGAAAGCCAATTTATCAATCTCTATTTAGACTCGTCGCAGAAGACGATCTTTCTTGCTTAAAGACGTTTGTTTTAAATATTAATGGAAAGTCACGGTATCCTTGATAGAAAATTAAAAATTCAGATTTTAATAGGACGTTTACGAAGGAAGGAAGGTTCGTCAATTTTGCAATAAGAAGCGGTAGACGATGAACGAATTGTAATGGAGGAGATCGAAGTGAAATGAAGCCTCGATCACGGTCAGCGCAAGTGTATTTTTATTCTCGATATCATGATGCGGTCGGTGTTCTTATGTCTTCGTGTTCGTTCTTTTTTTGTTTTGTTTTTTTCTTGCAATCTCCATGCTGAAAAGGTAGATCTGTCTCTTCCATTCCCGGCGGTGTTTATATCTCAACGGCAGTGGCTGGTTGCGTTAGATTCCTCGACCTTGCCGGTCGTGCAGGTTTCAACTCGCAGGCATCGGACCTCCACATCTATACCGGGTGTACCTGTGTGGAAATGTTTGATTCCAGGTTGAATGAATACTTGTTTTGCAGGAAATTGCGTTTGTCAGTAATTCTTGAAACTGCCATTAAACAGCAAATTCAGAATACTATCGGATATCACGTTATACGAACGTTTCCCAGAATATCGAACTTTCTTCGCAAGAACAGCAAGAAACGAAATAAATAAAATTAATTGTTAGCGTCGTTGTAGTGATCATGCCAACGAAGAACAAATTCAAGATAGTATTGAATGCCATGATGTAGGAATAGATACGAGGATTAAATTATATCCCTGAGAAGAATGGTCAAAGATAAAATAAAATCAACGACGCTATCGATTTTACAGCAACGTATCAGAACTCGAAACACGTATTAATAGAGGCAATAATTATTTCCACGCACGACGTAACGCGTTAAATTTATTCTGGTTCCTTGCCTCCCGCATGGTTCTCGGTACGGGTTCACCTCCTGCATCAGGGTTATTATTGAACATCGCTATTTCCGAAAACCGTCACGACTCCATCGTCAGTTTGCCGTGGTCGACAGTTCTTCCTGGAAGAAACAACGTGGCATGAAAATTCTAAAAGGATCGGAATGCAGCCGTCTCCCATGTTGTGTTGCATCCATGCCACCTTTGAGCTCGGAGAAAGTCTTCCACGGACGGATTTAGATTTATTAGACAGTTGTTACACACTGTCCATCGTTTATTTTCCCGTGTATTTTCAGCCGTTTTATCGCGCGTCTATTTTATACGTGTAACGCATCCACTAAGTGTCCATCGGCTAACGAGTTTAACTTCGTATTCAGATATAAAGTTCAAATATCATTATTTCAATTTTTCGAAAATTCTTATTTTGATATGGAAAAAAGCTGTATAAGAATCGCACATTTTTCAGAGTAGTTCAGTTATTATGAAAATGTAGAGTTATTTTTTTCATGCGCGCTATACGGACATTAAATTAGCATTGCGAGGATTTAAATCTACAAAAAAACAACGTTGACATAAGCTCTTAACAGTAGCCTACCAAGCTTAGCGACATAATAACATGGGCAACCGATGCAGAGAGCAAATTCTGACGCAGAAAAATTATCCCTATAAAGAATTGTGATTTGTCGACACGAAGAAACTATATAGATGTAATGTCAGTGATTATGTGAGTGATAGCGAGCTGAAATTAGATTCGCTAGAGCGTAATTTTCAGAGCACGAATGGAACACTGGTCGTTGTAACCATAAAGTACCATTGATGGAACCGTTCGGACGCTAATGGGTTCATCGTTTAGCATACAAACAATGGAACCATGTATTTATCGGTAGAGTCTATCATTTAAGCGGCATCGTAAGAATCGCTGACGAGAAATTACCAGCAGCCACATAATAATGAAAGATTAGGTAACCAATTACATACATTGTTCTATAGCCAATCTGAATTCCCAATGTGTTTCTATGTTTCGTGGCACGGGTCTACGAAGGAAGTTTGGTCTATACGAACTAGACCCAGTGAACTTCATCGATCGATGCTTGAACTCTTTTGCACAATAATATCAGCGAATTAACAAGTTACAAATTATAAATTATAGACTCCTCTATAATTTATAACTTAACGATCTTAAATCGAATTATATTATCAGATGATTTGTAGTTTGTAAAAAATTTGTGACGTTGCATTTGGTTTGTTATCGAGCATGTCACTTTCTAGTAATTAGCGAATTGTAACTTGTACAATTTGCTAATGGCATTACGTAATTCGATTGTACAGGAGCGCTCAGGATTATCTACAGTGGTTGGTGAAAATATTTGGAATCACTTATCACGGAAGACTGAAAATTTCTCATACAACACGTTTAATATATTCACAAAGATTTGTTCTGACTTCGATGAGCCTAATAGTGTTCGGTGTCAACGATAAAATAGTTGTCACATAGTTTGAGAATACGATTCGCAAACTCGAGACTTGTTCGCCATGCTGTAATTCTAACTAGTGTTATCAAGAGTAAATAACTTGTCGTATACACATGGAGTTTGTAGCGTTAATTCTTTGTTTGAAATCTGTTACTTACGTATTTCGCAGACCTCGAGTTACAAAAACACGAGTTTCGAGCTTTATTCTTCGCAGAATGTAATAAGAAGGAGAAGGAATTATTTGTTGTTATTATCGAGACATTTAAAGGTACTCTTATTATTTTATTTGCTGTAGTTTGTCTGGAAGCTTTAAAAGGAATTATATTTACTGCACACTTGATAATGTATATCAATATGCGAATATAGTAAGGATAAAAGGAAAGGTTAATTATCTATTATCGTCATTGGAAGACTTAAGGATGCTACATAGTACGTACTATTTTGTTTGTAGTTTATATTACTTCAAAGGTCTGGGAAGTAATTTTCACAAGTATCTGATAACTTTACTGATACCGGAGACCAATGTCGCGAATATACTAAGAGAAAAAAAGCAATTATTATTATTGACAGGCTCGAGAATATAACATATCCTATTATCCTATTTGTAATTTTTGTCACTTTAAAGATTTAATATTAAACTTCGTCAAATGCCTGATAACTTACAGGATTACCCGTACGATTGACGAATATAATTTAATACGATCAAAAACGATTTAATTCTCTACTCTACTAAGTGAAATGGAATAAGCAGAATAAAATATCGGTATTTAAAATAAAAAATATTCAACATTAATTATACATGACTTACGAATCTGTAATATTACCTTGTATCGAAACCTACAACCAATTCTTCTCACAAAATTCGACGATCCCGAGGAACGTCCCGAGACTACGTGATCCACTATCTCGACCCTTATCTATCTTTACTATCTACCGATTATAAAACAGTGTTCAGGAAGAGAATTCACTTAGATCAAATTGTACATGTGAAACATACCCACCCAGGTGAAATGTAGGTTCCGAACTCTACGGTGAAGAGTCGTGTCGCTGAAAATTGATTACCATATTTCATCGTGGCGGTAGTTGGAATGCCACACGACTTGTTTATGGGGTATGAGACCCGGTGCACACTCGTTTTGTAGACAGGGCCGCCTGGTAACGACTACCTGTTACCCAATTAATCGCTACCCACGTTCTAAGAGGTCCAGTTCCACTCGACCGTAGCCTTTGATGGAAACCAAACAATTCAGGAACCTATTCGTTTATGTTGCAAAAGGTCGGACGCAATTATTCGATTCACTGCTTGCTGGATACGAGATATTCCTGGCGTTGTTACAAGTTTCGTGTTTATCGACCTGGTTTCCTTTGTTAAATTGAAATAATTCGATAGGTGTGCTTTTTTGAATGGAATAGCGGACGTTAGAGAATGGAAAGGACAGTAGATAAGATCTGTTCTTTTTGTGTGTTGCAGAATTTCCAGGACCTGGAAGCTGAGAAGGCAATAATGGGCTCCATTGTGTATTGCATACATCATAAGGATGGCTGCAAGTGGTCCGACGAACTTCGAAAGTTGAAGGTAAAGTTATATTTTTCTTTCCTTTTTGTTAGTTTCGATATGCGTACCACAATTTTTATGTTTTATATGGTAAAGACGGTACTGTATGTTGTTCAGATAATCGAAGAGTTTCGTGAACAAAGGGCTTGTAGGTTTCCTATTTGCTAGCTAATTTTCTAGCTATTTTCTAAAAATTTTCTAGCTAAATTTCTATGAAGCTTTTATTCGTGTTGAGAATATAACAAGGACAAATTCTTTAAGTTGTTTAGTTCTAGTTTTCTGGTATTAATTACGTTCGAATTGGTAATTATTTGAGAAAGAAAAAAAACTTTATAGTAATCGAAAGAATTTAAAAACTCGAACTAAAACCTTCACAGCTAAGGTATCATACAACTAAAAATTTTGCCCTACGGGTTCTTCTCTCAGAAAGCTCCACGACTGATACGTGAAAGTGTCAAGACTCTCTACGGGTCTTTTAATTGTTCTTTATAAAATTACTCGAAATTTTGGATGTGTAAAAATACGAGATAGTTTCATTATGCATTTCTGATCTTGAGCGACCTTGTGTTGATAGGTCGTTGAACTGGTCCCGGCACGGTTAACTCCCACACAGCTTGCGGATAACTTGTGCTGGTTTTCCGCTCAATTATAAGAACAATTATCGGCTCTTTTTACCGTCATTAACATATCAATTCTTACATGATCTCTTGTCAAGTTACGAGTTAAAAATAGTCTATATATGCTATAAATGGCTATAAATGGCTTCGCAGTTCTTTCTTGTAATCAGTAATGGGAAAATCCCATTGTCGGAAAACATTATAAGGAGCTACAAGATTGACCTCGAAATAAATTTGATATGACTTTTTAATAATTCTACTTACACAAATTATGTTAAATTTTTTTGCACCGAAGTACAAAAAATTTAGTAATTAGAAGTTAGAATCAGTAGAATTCTATACTTTTAAGAATCATCGGAAAAACTTTCGAAAAAGTACTCTAAAAATTCGAATCTATTGCAGTATTAAGAAATATCGAATAAATTAAAAATTAGAACCAAGCACATTTCAAACGAAAGAATTCCCCATATAATTCTCACAGAAGAAATTTTAACCTACATATATTAACATAATGCTTTTACACGCTACCGTAGACGTTATTACTATTTCTTTAATCTCCGGTATGCGGTTCGTTCACCCGAGTTTCCCCGATTGTCGCAATACGAACATAAATCCGAAGAGAACGATCCGATCGGAGTAGAAGGAATGCGCCGTTCAAGTCTCACCGATGTAAAAATCGCATTATATCCTGTTTAGGCTCACCTGAATACCTGCAAGCACGACGCGGTCCCCTGCAGCAATAAGTGTGGCGCGATGATCCCGCGTGTGCTGATGGAGGACCATTTAAAGTACACTTGCGCCCAGCGGCGAGCACGCTGCGACTTCTGTGCCAAAGAATTCACCGGTCACACGCTCGAGGTAACCGCCACTGCATTAATTAGAAGAATCGCGATCGAGTGCCAGCCGTTAACTGTACTATAGTGGGAACGGATGCAAGCGAAAGCACCATGAGTTCAAACGAAATTTCTCGAATTCTTTTTTCTTTTGTTTAATATTCATTTAGTCATGGATGAATGATTACAGTGGCTCACGAAAGTATTTGAACTTTCATAGAAACTTCTTATGAACATATTATGCGTGTTATGCGAAACATTCTAACGAAGTCTTATTAACATCGTAATGAAGCGCAATTATCATAATTATATTAGCAACGTTTGAAGCCAATTTAAAAACGTACACAGTAGCTACGAGATATTTAATCCAGGTACACATAATTCACAGAAAAATATTTATATTATTCATTATATTAACAAGTTACTATATTCAGTGAAAACATCTTTAATACTTTTATATACACTTTCATTGTTACTCCGTATTTATTATAATTTAGCTAGTATTATTTCAAAATTTTCTATTGTGTGTCTATATATGTCTATAATTTAATCTACTATTTAAGGATATCGCTAACGATTCTGCTCTTTATCTACAGAAACACACAGGGACGTGTGGCTATGAACCACTCTACTGCGAGAACAAGTGTGGCATGAAGGTGCAGCGAAGGCATCTCAGTCAACACAAGTTGGGCGAGTGCGCGAAAAGACTGGTGGCCTGTCGTTACTGCAACAAAGAGTTCGTTTTTGACACACTCGGTGCTCATCATGCCAAGTGTGGCCGCTTTCCAGTCGCTTGTCCACACCGTTGTGAAACTGCCGTCTTACCAAGAGAAGATCTCGAAGTTCACTTGAAAGATCACTGCACTACACACCTCTTATCTTGTACTTTCAAGGATGCTGGCTGTCGTTTTAAGGTACATCAATTTATTGCTTTATATTACATTCACTTTCTGTTTCTTTTCCATTTTATAAGATTAATATCAAAATATTATTTTTTGTCACAGGGAAATCGATTTTCGTTGGACAAACATTTGGAGGAATCAGCAAAGATGCATTTAAGCTTGATGTGCAGTGTAGTAACAAAACAACAGCATCAGATAACCAGCCTGAAATCCGCCATTAGCAAACTATCGTTAAATTACACGGGCACACTAATATGGAAAATTACGGATTACAGCGCTAAAATGTCCGAGGCGAAAGCCAAGGAAGGAATGGAACTCGTCAGTCCTCCTTTTTACACTAGTCAATATGGTTACAAGCTACAGGTAGGCAATACTTAATATTGATTCTATATTGTTCTCCTTTAATCTAAGTTTTAAGAACTCTACTATACTACATATACTTACTTACTTAGAATGTAAAAATATTGAATATTTCAGGCGTCAGTTTTCTTAAACGGAAATGGAACCGGCGAAGGAAGTCATATTTCAATATACATAAAGATTCTTCCCGGAGAGTATGATGCTCTGTTGCGGTGGCCATTCTCCCACAGCGTGTCCTTCACCATATTCGACCAGACGGTGGTCGCGGAAAAGGCGTGCAATATCGTAGAAAGCTTTATACCGGATCCAACATGGAAGAATTTCCAGAGGCCCAGTCGTGAGCCCGATTCTCTCGGTTTTGGCTTCCCAAGATTTCTCTCTCACGAAATGGTGAAGAAACGGCATTTTGTCAAAGATAATACTATGTTCATCCGAGTAAAGGTCGATCCTAGCAAAATAGTTGCTGTCTGAAAAGATAACATCGACCCGTATTTTTATTAAATACGTTGTATCATACTAACTCAATTACTATCGTTCCACGTAACACATTTAATATTGTTACGCCGCACACACATGTTTCTTGACATGGTTTATACGTATTTTTTACTTTTACACGTATCGTCAGTCCAGTAAACGATTAATGATACTTGATATTTATTAATTGTGTACTTGGTGTGATAGTTCGAAGTACTTTACATATGAAGCGCATGGTACTTATGTCGTTACACTGAAAGTAAACTAATGTAGAATTGATTAAAACAAAATAGAAAGCAATAGCGACTTACAAAACAAAACGACTGCTGTGCGAAACATTTGGAGGATCTAAATTCGGAGAATTATTTGAATTTTTATTACGAACAGAGTTTTGGTTTTGGCACATTGATATTTACGTTAACTACCCTCTATACATAATTTTGAAGATTTTAGGATATATTAATAACATGACAGGCGATCCTCTAGTTATCTGAAGCGATATGTCTCTCAATTGAACGAGAGCTGATTGAACATGTGTACATATATCGAACACCGAAATTTTGTAAGTTCTCACTTGTAGCGTCAGACCCATCCTATGACTGCAGTTCCCAATTATTCCCATCTTTTATTTTGTAACATACGTTTCCACATTTTCTACACTGGATGATTCGATTTACAAACTTAACACGAGATTGGAGGTTGCAATTTTGACTGAAATTTGAGTAGATCAAATTTTTCAGCACATTAAGTTAAACCGGTCAACGTTAAGTTTGTTAAAACGATATCTACCTTGACAATTCAAATCAAAGATTATTAAAGGACTGTGTATTATAAGCTTAAGAGATGTAAATATTGTGAAAAAAAGAAATAGCGCCGAACGAGATGCGAGTTAATTAGTCGAGGCGACAGATCTACCGATGTAAATATAAGTTTACTTTATATTAGTGATAATGAGAAATTGTGATTGAGATGCTAGTGACTGTATGTAATGATCTAAGAATAAGAAATAATAAAACTATTATATCGCATTCATATATTACATACTATGAATATATTATTTTATTTCCCATTTTCTTTATTTCGTTACACGAAATCAACAAAAATGCATTATAAATACTTCATATCAATACACAATATATACATGTATATTTACAATCTAGAAGTTACGATAGATTATACATGAAAAAGGAAAACATCATCTAGTGATCAGTCTATTGTGATGTCCCACTATAATGAGATTGTGTCAGTTTTCCATCCTAAAAAATATAAAGTTTGCTTTAGAAAGCATAAAAAAGATTTTCTTGTAATAGAATTATTATCGTATGAAGTACAGATATGGTTTGTATCCTTAGCATTTGATCCAGAGCATGTGGCAATAATGGACGAACACTGTTGATTTCCATGGCAGTTAAATGGTCCAGCTTAGCGTGTAAACCTTCGCTTTTAAGGAATGCATCTATTGATGTACGGAGCTTTGACATTCTTATGTCCCATATATCCTAACAATTAATTAATACATTAGCATTAAAAGGTATACTTACATTTATATTTATTACCTTCACTGCTGTTTTTATTCTGTCCGCATCAGGTATATCATCACTACCAACATTCAGTAAAAGCTGTGCTTCTTCCATGTAATGATTACTGGGCATTTTTATAAACAATCTAAAATAACAATTTATTTATACGAAAAAATATTTTATCATAAGGGATGAAAGAAGCACATTTACTTACTTGGATAACTTTTCTTCCTCCTTCGTCTCATTTAAGCCATCAACGTCCATCCAGTCTTGATTAACGATTCGACACTTTTGTTGCTGCTTCAGGTTTACAGCCAACCAAATCGGAACTTTCACAGGTAAACCGGCTCGAAAAGGGCCCACAGATCCCGAAATTAAATGAATCATGTCAAAACTAAAATTCGGCACAATGGTGACTAATTCTTTTTCACCGAGAAATTCTACTTCACTCGGATCCATCGTTTAGCGTTTAATATTTTATGATAAACAATGTTTATTAAATAAATTTTAACATCTTCCAAACAGACTCAACGTTGCATCTGATACGACAGTAAGACTAAGTTTCGGCGGGAAACTTGCGTACGCAGTACCCTTCCATGTTTGAAACGCTACCTGTTGCTCGCTACGTTAACTTCGGATGTATGTAAAGCGCATGCACGATATTAATTCGATATATCGAAATTCGGAATTAGTTTCAACTAAGTTCTGTTCGTTTGGTCAGTTTAGCAATCCATTTGTAAGAATAATGTCTTATTTAAAAAAAAAAAGAATATTGTACGTTACAAAAGATGTTAAACCAAGACAAAGACTTTCATGCTGGAACTATTTAATTGTCAGGTAGTATTAGGTTATTAGACAATAGTATATTTTAGTGGATATAGATGATTATTTTTGTGACATTTATTTAGACCGTTGTGTGATACACAGAATGTGGAATGGACATTAGCATATAGGCTGTTTTAAAATAACTTTTTAATATTTGAAAATTCAAATATCGGTTCCCTTATCTACTTTGATTCGTTTATATGAGATTCACATTTCTATGTTTAACATACATTTCACGTCATTTTCATGCAAATTACGTATCCATCATATGTAATCTGTATGAGACTGTCGTTTCCCATTGTAGATATGTTCGTGCAGATATGTTATATATTTATTCGTGTCTAATTGTCATTAACAATGAATTTATTATTTGAAGAATATATTTATTTTGTTTTCGAAATAATATTATTCATAGTCAGTAGAAATGATTATTAATTTTTCAGTTTCTATATATTCATTATAATTTATTCTAAAGAAATGTCTTTTTTTTGGATATACACTGAAATTTCATTTAATTACCATTGATCACCATTAAAACAGAAAATGTAATCTGGAAATACGCTCAGTCAAATATTCAGTGCTTTAACAAAACTTAATGCAATACAGTTTCTTCGTATTTTATATTGAGTATTAAATAATATCAGGATTCAGATTATTATACATCGAATCATAACACACTAAACACCAAAAATACATCACGTTTTGTAAACTTATTATTAACACCTTATTTTGCAATTTCAATGATTTATTTATGGTAGAAGATAATTACCATACATCTTCTTATCGTTAATTTATTATCAATAGTGAAATTGATATCCACCAATTTCTAATTGAATCGAGATTCAATTTTGATTAGTTTATTCACGATCAGGAACGCCGAAGAAGTTCATCAGCCTTTGTCTTTATTTTCCATCAGTTCCTCGTCCAGTTTTTCGTGAACGGATTCCACGTGATTTACATCTACTTCAATGACGAAGATAGACGCCGGTGGCGTCTCCTCGACGTGATCCACTTCCGCCGGAAGAAGCGGCATTAAAGGTTTGTAAGTCTGTAATTCCAGTGAGGTAATACGGGGCGATCTCGGGGTGATTCTGTCATTTTCAAAATTGTCACTTTCATTTCGCTGCAGATCGTTGCTGTTTTGACTCGCGTTGTCATTTTCCTGTCTATCACTCGAAGAGCTTGATGTGTTTGCTGCATCGTTTTCTCGAATCGTAACGTTTCGAGGGCTCGAGAATGATCCTCTAGATCTAACGTCAGTTACCTGTAATTAAAATTCGATCGATAAAATAAGATATATTTCCAATAATTTTCAGGATAAAATGACAATCTTATCTCTAGAAAAATTAATCGACTGCAGCTGTAAAGGCCTGATAGCAGGAATTACTAAATAGTAGATTTTTAAAAATCACTGGATGTTTATGCATTTGGGGGAAATTTAATGGTGCAAACATCTACAGAATGCATATAGCATCCAGACATATATATAAAATACTCAAAGTAGTACACTTATTATAGCGTGTATGAAGAAATTTCTAGTTATTCTAGTTACGTTCATAAGAGACTAATACAGGTAGGTCTCGATTAGTGCGAGTAGTAAATCCCAAAAATAGATTACGTTATTCGAATTCACATTATTTGAATATTTGAAATATAGGAATTGGTTCTAATTTAAAGAAAGTATACAATAAAAATTGTTAAATATACCTTTTCATATATATTTCACTAAATTATAATGGCACAAACATGATTATTATTTCTCAAAGTATTTTAAGTTGGTCGCACTTTCTTCTGTTTCTTTGTATCTTCGTATATGTGGCGATAAGCCAGCAGTACTTTGTTCGTGCCTCTGTTAAGTTGCATACTTCGATCCATGTTTGGATCGGCATCCGTAATTTTTTGTTTCGCGTCGCGTCATGACTATAAAACAGAAGAAGTTCAGAGACGACTTACGCATCGTCTCGACGAAACAGAAGTTTAAAGATAAAGTTAAAACAAAAGACTAATTGTTTCTATAGTTGTACCGGATGAGAAAAGACTCGCAAACCTCGCATTAAATGAAAACCTCGCATCATTTTATAATTCGCACCAAATCGAATATCGCACTATTTAAGCTCACGTTAATCGAGATCTAATTTAATTAAAAATTTAATCACACCGTACCTGACGCAGTAAATCCGACCTGATAACTCTTGTAGACGGCGGTCCACCTGTTTGCCTCAGGAATTGTCTCTGGGAACCAACCAAAGAGCCACGATCGTGAATCACGCTAACTACGCTAGATTTCACGTCACTGTGCGGAAATAGAAGTCTCCACATGAAATTCTTAAGCGCCGCACGGAAGTCCTTCAGATGGTAAGCGTAGAGCAATGGATTGCCAGCTGAGTTCAAGTGCGACAGGATTATGCAAAAATTCATCAGGACATCGTGCACCCTACACCTTGGACAGAACGCCATCACACAGTTGATGGTGTAAAGAGGGAACCAACAAATAATGAAAAAGATCACGATTCGCGATAGATTTTGCGTTGCCTTCACTTCACGCTTCCTGGCGGCCCCAAGTAATCGCAGCATGGTTCCAGTTGTCTGGTTTCCGGTACGGCGACCCGGATTCATTGTTACAATTTGTTGCAGCTGCAAGAACATGTAATAATAAATAATATAATTAGAGAAATATTCAATATATCTTTTTCACGAGAATTCATCGGATGTAACGTGGTAACTCTTCTTTAAAATAGTAGAGGAAGAACGAATAATGCACCTCTAAAGTAATTTATAAATGAAATTCTCAGAAGATTATATAAATGAAAGCCACAATCGTTTATTCTCAGCACCATAATTACTTTGTCACCAAGAAGATCGCTTTATTTAAGAACTGCAACCGACGAAAAACCAGATGAAGGTATTTAAGAAAAATGACGGCGCACAAATTTGATAAATTAAAGAAGATAAATTTCGAGGGTCGGCAAACAGGACCTTGTCTTCGCTAATTCATTGTCCTGTTTGCACACCGTATATCCGCATACTCACACTAGTACGCATATTCTGCTCGTATATTTACGGTAAAAGTGTCTGACCTGCTTTACGACCACTCGGTATATATGGGTGTAGAAGGCTGCAATTAATAGCGCGGGAAAGATGATCGTGGCGAAGTACAGGAACACTAAGTAATCGTAATCCATCACCTCGGTGAAGATGCATTTCTCATTGGATTTCTTGCCCGCGTTCCAACCTAAAAGCGGCAGGAAGCCGACCAATGTGCCAGCGATCCAACACACACAGATTATACCTAAAAGAACGGAACCATCTTTTAATCTTTATATGTTTGTTTCAACTGTTCCAGATGAATTATTATTAGGTAATATGGAAGTAAAAACATAAAGAAGAGATCACTGAAAATGTTTAAAATTCTCATCCTTACAGATTTTACCGAAGACCGATTGTATGGAACGGTGATATATGTATGCAGCAAGGAGAGTGTTTTGGACAAGAAATAGAAAGATTTATAGAGATCCCGCTATAGAAGAAGAGAATGAAAAGTCGGTCAAAGGAGTCGATGATAGACGTGCATGTGAACGTTATCGATTGGAAAGTACGGCAATAAACGCACCTTTTCCCCTCGTTGGAGAAATGGTATCAGTCAGTGGGCTCGTAATTAAAATCACTCGTACCATAAACAGGCGAAATGCTTAAATTAATCATGGCTAGGTAGCCTGGCAGTGAAATGAGAAACGTCTAATCGTGTCATTAATTTTTTCACGAGTCTCTCCGATCCTTCGATGTAATTTCGCGCGTTTTACGTGAATTATATTTAACAAACGAAATTTTCTAACGCTTTCTTATCAAAGTCTGATTTTAATGAATTTCTATGTTATTTCATGCTTCTCCATGAAATTTATTTAGAGCCTCACAGTTTTCCTTTTTCATTTCTCTTTCTACGCATATGTACTTTTTCTCTGAGGCAGAGAAATGCGATTTCCATCAATTTCGTCGCAAGGAGGAAGGAAAATCCTTTGGGAAATCGGGCGAATGGATATGTGATATGTATTTCATACTCTATGCTATATGTTAACATCATTGAAATGCACCGAATGCAGGTGGAATTTTTTCAATTACTCTACTAATTACATAATTATCGTGGGGATTATATATTACGAAATCAATACATTGTCGTATTACCTACTTTTATGAATGAGGAAAAGTAACATACGCAAAGAGATATTCTAAAAAACTATTATAAAAGAAAATACGTTTCACTTTAGAGAAAAAATCGTTTCTTATTTACTATAAGCTACTAACTAAAGTTACATAACAGTTTTTATATAACGTAATTACAAAGATAAGAATTTTTATAAAGAACAAGTATATTGATGCTTAAATATCCCAAATATACTAAGAAATTCACTAATTGATCGCAAGTAAGAAATTTAATATTTAATGCATCGATTAACTTCAAGTTAAATTTCTTAAGAATATGCACGACAAACTTCTACTATATACGTTATTAAAATATGCGCAGGGAATACCACCTGTTGCCGTCTAAAGGGCATTCTGTTGCATCTCATCGATTCAGTTCCACGGAGGATTATGATGTAATTTCTTTTGGAAAATCAGCGTAAGTGATACAAATAAACACATATTAATGTAAGATAAAAGAACTTTCACATATATTCACCGTAATACTACAGTGAAATTAAGACCAAATCATAGTAACGATGGTCTATCTACACAATATTGTCTAATCAGCATTGTCACTATTTGATGTCCTACATTCTCGTAGAACAGAACGTGATAAACATATGCTACCATGTGTAGTTACATATTATACAGCAATAGAAATATAATTTTATAAAATTCATTTTATAAAATTTCATATGTTTATACATACGTATTTGATTTCAAGCAAAGTTCGATGACTTAAAAATAGCTTGGAGCTTTTTGTATTTTAAATTATGATAAAACGTATTGTTTAAAAAACAAAGAAGTCTACCTTCGATGCCCTTAAGACTATATGTCGTTTATTATTCAAAACATTGCAGAACATTGAAGTACTTTTTACACGCGAACTTACTAGTCTTTTCGGTATAAGCTGTATATTTTGCATAAACTGAAACATTCGATATTTTATGTCCATTTTGCATAAACTGAAACACTCGATATAGATGGAAAACAAGGTTCGAAATATGTGAAGAGTTGAATAACAGGTTCGCTCGAACAAACAATTTCGCAAAATATAATTACGTGGTTCGTGCCTTGGTGTTGTTTTATCGTAGCTCGATTAAATGGTTATGCGTTTCATCCAGAACGCTTCTAAGAAGAGGTGATTTTAATTGGATCATCGGATTGTACAACAGTAACGACGTAGCTAACAATTACTCGATTTACCCTTGCGTTTCTTCGAACTTTTACCGAGCTCACTCAATTATCGACTCGTACTACTTGCGCATCGACGATTCCGTTCACGGTAAATTTTCTTGTTTATCTTCAAGAATTATCTTCGTTCATTATATCGCACACTTATATCGTATTTGTAAAAACAGACAAAACAGAATCTAATATTTTTAAAAAGCGTATTAAAGCGTTATAAAACATTTCTGATGATTGATAGATTTTTTTTTAATTACTGCGATTAATGTGGATGTCCTGAGAAATGCTTTAAATTATTATACGTATTCATGATGAAATTCATCTGCTGAAATTATGAATCTTAAATTACAGAAATTGTAAAGTAGAGGAATGTCTTAACTTAGAAACTCATTTACTAACATTTAATAAAACTACTTAAGAAATAATTGCTAGTTCAAAAATTTAGAGACTCAAAATTGTTAAATAAACGAATCCTTATGAGTTTAAAAATGAAACCAGTTTTAGATCGTTTATTATAATATTAGTTCAAGTTCGTCGTCCTCATTAATTCTTACCTATGGCAGTTTTAGTGCGTACGGTGCGTGAGTATCCCATGGGATGAAGTATCGCCCAGTAACGATCTATGGACACCGCTACCAGACAGAAGATACTGATCGTGCAGAGGACGATAAGCACTGAAACGGTGAACAGGCAGGCGTGTAAATTCGTCGGTAAACCGATGCTGGCCAAAATGGCGAAAGGTATAGCGAACAAGCCGACCAAGAGATCGGCCGTGGCTAGAGAGATGATGTAATAATTAGTTCGTCGACGAAGTTTCCTCTCTTTGCTGAAGACTGTGATCACCAAACCGTTACCAAACACCGCGCACACTGCCACCAGGATCTCGCAAACTGTATACGGTAGATTGAGTTCCGAATGGGTCGACGCATTCACCGCTCTTACAGTCGAATTACTAGCCAACTCGCTGGCATTTGATGGAAATTCCATCACGATGAACGCTGATACTCTGAACGCAATCGTCATCTACCCTCTGTCGATCTGATCTTGATGATTAACTTACTGCTACATTTATCAACGTAGTTTATCGAAAGAAATGCAGATTATCGAGGAAAATGGAGATTGTAGAGATAATTTTTTGGCATTTTTATATAGTTGATGTTTGTTGATGTATATCAAGTTGATGACTCATTAATATTCGTTTGTTCTTCATCGTAGGTTTATGTAACGAATGTGGTAGTAAATGGAAATCGCGTGACTAGCGGTTCTCTTAGTGTTTTTAATGAATCCCCTTAATTTCTTTATACAGAATATCCATGATGCTCGATATGTCACGCGAGCACGTTCCTTGAATACATCTTACTTTCTTAATGTGAAGGGGACGTAAATAGCAAATAGCATGTCAGCGGAATGAAAACGAAATCGGACATCTTCTGCTTCCTTTCTGTTTCGGGAATCTTTCGAGTCACCGTTAAGAATCGTTCGATGACCATGTCACGCTCGATGGTAGACAATCGATCTTATTTTAAGAGAAGGACATTGACACGTACGGGCAGACCGGAAAAGGGAAGCATGGTCGTTTATTTGTATGGACGTGCCGCGATGATTAACGATATTTATATCACTTTTCACGCAACGAGCTTTGTCTCTATCGTGTCGTTTGGTAGTACCTACTAATTTACTTGAAATGCACAATTCTCTGATATATATCTCTAATAAAACGCGTACGATTTACGATTCTTATCGAGGGCAAAGAATAAATCAAAAATTATACAAAGTACCAAGCCTTCTATGGCTATTTTATTATATTTTATTATATTTCCAAGTAGCCAAAAATATCTGCCTGAAAGTCATAGATCAAAAATCATCATTACGTTAATACTTCCATTCCTCGATCTTCTTTCCAAATGGTCACAAATGGATTATGTATAACAGAAAGCTCACGGTATATTTAATAAGACTTAAATTCTCGTTACACTCGTCCAGAAGTAATCGAGCTTTTCAACTATGTTTCTAGGTAATTTAAGATATCTCTGAAGATTCACGTTTTATCAAGGAACAATGAATCGTCCATTGAGAAACAGGATTGCCGGAAATCTCGAGATTGCGAGCGATCGAGTTCATTAAGTGGACATTTCGAGTCCAACCACGTTTTGATCGCGTACTTGCGAAATTTATTGCAAGATACGACCTTCCGGCGCATGTTCATCAGGAGGTAATTCAACTTCCACCGGTACGCGTGCCTTTGATTATGTCTGCAACTGTATTCGGGTCAAGCATGAGTTTTTATTATAAGTCTAAAAATCGAATCTTCAATCTTCAATATTGAACAGTTTGGACTTGGAGAAGTTCTTTTACTGGTTTTTCAATTATCCCCATCCTCGTCCGCAGAAGTTGACGAATCTTCTTTTCACTTCAACTGAAATCACGCGGAAAGAATGGATGCGGTGGATAGTAATTGAACCGATTAGATTCTTGTTAACTTTCTCCTTCGGTAGACAATCGAGCGCAGATATCGTTCCTATTAAATGCTACTTTATCTTTTATTTTCCCTTATAAATTTAATCTCTCTTAGAATATTCCTAAAAGTATCCATTTTTTGTATTTATTTACCAAACTTAATTTGCAATGAGGAGATTGCGAGCGTGTCAGCCTTTTCATCTTCAGTGTTCACAACAGTTTTTTCCGACATACATTAAAATGCATAAGTTTTCGAACATACAAAGGGTTCTTCTTTAGAAGCACTTCTTCGTTTCCTAACATCTGACTCAATGTAATATTGCAGAATATCTTTTATTGCCTGACTCACGGTGGTGTAATTAAACTACTGGTCCTTTTCAAGAACAAAAACAGATTAAACTTTTAATTTCATGGCGATGTGACGGTGCTATCTTCGGGGAAGTTAAACTTAATGAAAGAAGAATCAACACCGACCGTTTCAATCGCGTTGACATCGTGACGCAATTTCAACGCTTTTTTCGTTTCGGTACGACTGACGGAAAAATTATCAAGCATGCCGCGACTTGGCTAAAAGTTATTGAACCTTCGATCGACAAACGTCCTTGATATTCATTTTAAAATACTGAAACATTCAGCATATCTTTGTAATTGGATTTTTAGGTTGTATCAATATTTTCGTATCTGCACTTTGATTTTTGACCAGACGTTTGTCTCTGTTGTTATGATTAGAGTAATATCTGACAAAGCAGTTGAAAGAGTGAAATACGACTTAGGGTGTCGAGAACAAAGTTAAAAGCAGTAAAAGTCGTCATAAATTGTATTTTAATATCATCATGTACGCCGATACTCTATTCTCAGCTTTTACGCCTGTCCTTATTTATAGAGGCTTAGCATATCACTTGCCGATCATCATTATAGTATTTTATCTAAGATGTTACGGCCATACTATTTTCTAATTCGAAACACGATATTTTTATCCTATTTTTATGAAAGAATATCGATTCACTTAATTCAAATTTCAAATTTTAATTCCGATTAATTTTAATTCTGATTGATCTTAATTCCGATTAATTTTAATTTCTGTAGATCGTATATTCGAGGAAAAACCGATTCGAACTCGTTCAGTAACCAATCAGAGTGACGCCGATATTTACCCAACCAATCAACGTCAATCAACGTCACTGCGCGCTTTTTTTCAAACAAACACTAATTGATTAACGATCGATGTAAATTGTCGCGGTTTCTCGAAACTTTCCGGTTAAATCGAAGATTTAGCGTGAATGAAACACACCCACGGAACACGTCCGGCTTCTCAACCCCGTGGCGCGTAACTGAGTTCCTCTTCGTGACACACAGGGACACTGCGACGGTGGAGGTGGAATAGACGCGGTCGTAGATTATGGTGGTAGTGGTAGACTGGAGAAGAAAATCGGCGATTATATATCTATGTTTCTGTATTTTATGTAGATATAATCTATTATGCATAACTCTTGAAAACGGAGGTAATTTAGATTTAAAATCACATAAATCTGCGCATCGTAGTCGATATTAAATATTTTTTGTCTTATTCATCAAACTTTGAATCTTTTTATCATGGTCGACTATCTTGATTTAAAATATTGATATATACAGAATTCATTTGTATACATTTCGCATGTTCTTCTTTACTTCTGATGGATTTCACCTCCTCTAATATTTTCTTCGATCTTTTACAGAAAATTGGCTGAAGCAGCGATTCACGATTTGAGACTGTGGATGCAGTTAATCTACGTATCTTCCGCTAGCATTCCTGCAAGCATATCTTACGAGATTTGTAATTGGATAAGCGTACCACGAGTGAAGATTCAATGACATATCTGGAATATACGCGTAGGTAAGAGAGAAGGGAATGTAAGTACGAGACGCGGCATGTTCATACGCGTGAAATCGTCAAAGAAAGAATAAAACTCTCCTTGTGCGAGTAAGTAGTACAAATTAGTTTAGCTTCCTCTCGGCGAAATTAAAAGTCCCGTTCCGCCTCTGGAACTTTTTCTAATATTTTATGAACTCTACGTCGCGGGATACTTTATAGCCAATTTCTTTCTTTTACTAACGTTACTAACTCGTCGAGTTTCTCAATTGTAATTTGTTATATTGAACGTTTCAATTTGAGTAGATCTGTGTATATTTTCTTAGGAAGTACATACATGTATGCCCAATGGGAATTACAAGACAACATTGGAAGACAATGTTTTCTTAATGGAGCCCGATGGAAGGAACGTGCAATAGTGTTGAAACACTAACACCATTATGATGATTATCGAATTACGAGCGTAAAAGAAAAGTTGTTTCGCTTAATTAGACCTTCTAAATCTAATTTCACGTGCTTGCACGACGCGCCCTTCGCTAATATCGGCCAAGGTGTTTCTTGTCTTGAGAAATTCGACAAGACAAACGGTCGCATAATTAACCACGCGCGTGCGTTCCATGCTTAATATTGGTCACGAAAATAGAGAACCCCATTTCTTTTTCAACATCGTTATTTATATCAATGTAAATGTCAGCGGATCTTCTATCTCATTTAAATCCAGTAAAATTCGACGAACTGCTGTATGGTAATACTGAAAATTTAATTCAATTGGATAATTGATGGAAATCGTAGGAATAGACTATTTACTGCGTGTACTATTAATCGAATCAGATCCTCTTGCAAACAAGCGGGTATTTGTTATTCCGTTCGACATTAGACAGGATCGGATTACTGCCAAGGCTAACCAGACAAATGGGTCTGCGCATTTTTCGTTCTCCCTTTCCAGAAGGTGGTTATATCCGATGTCTGTATGTGTGTCTATGTATAGAAGTTCGTTTGAAGTGAGAAATCGAGTTCTGAGTAAGTTTCTGGAGATACAATTTTATTGAAAAGTATATCTTACGTGGTGGATTGATTTTCTTCTATATCTAATAACGTTCTTTCCTAGCATATATATATGTTTTAATTTTCCTGTAAATTACTGTTCCAACGATTACCGTGTTAATGGTTGAACCGACGATGCGAGAAAATTATAGGGTGTTATAGAATTAGCGATGAATCTTAATTGCTGGGGTGGCCTTAAACATGTCTTCGACCTTTGCCTGTTATTACACTGTTCTAATAACTGGCAATTACGTAATTAGTCCGACACGCAGTGAGAACCACCGGCTTCTATGAATTTCTTAACTATACATATATTATAAAAACGATGAATTTTTAAAAGGAAACGTACAGCTCAATCGACGGAACGCGTTTCCTTCTCGATAGTGTAAGAAGATATAAGCTGTGGGTGGAGGTCATGGATATCTCAAGGTTATTCATGTTATTCCTCCTATATTGCAATCAATATTTTAATTTTACAATTTACGTAATGTTTTCCGCGTTAATATAATTATAGGTGTAAGGAATAACATGGGTAAATTAATTTTCATTAGACTTTTTATAGATTTAGTAATGTATCCAGTAATATTAATTTAATAACATTGAATTTTAATTTCAATTTCGTAAACTAATCATAAGTTATTTGCTGCCTTCGTATATTTCAATCCGATTAGGCAAATGATTTATGGAATTATTTCTCGCGTCAATTTTCAAAGTAATCTTCAAATGGAACGAAGACAGCTTCTTTGGTATGGAACTTGTGCTTCAGCTTGAAAGCATTTCTGTGTCGAATGTTAGTTAATAGATTCTCGATTCTTTGTCATGGAATATAATTGTCTTCTGTATAAAAAAGAAGTAATTGCAACACACTGGTTGTCTCAAACCCACATGGGTTGGTTGAATGATCGATAATTGTGATCAACACTCGATTAAACTGATATCAATTTAACATTTATTACGTAATTAACCAGTTACTGCTTTTCTCTAGTCCAGTTAATAATAAACATTTTATCAGGATAACGAGTAATTTAAAGGAAAGAATCATTTGAATAATCCCTGATTTTGGGGATTTTAATGAATCAATCCTCTTCAATAGAATAACTTCAACTGATTGATTTCAACTGCTGAAAGACATCTTCTTAAAACGGAGAGGTCTTAACGAATAGTAAACGAGTCCATTCTCAGTAATTCGAATGTGCTTTATTGTATGTAACAGGCGCACAACAGATCGTTTGACATCGCATGAAAGGATCCTTGATTGTGATGCAAAGTTGAATAAATCGTGGCTAGACAACGCTAGGTATGCGAATTTGCATTTATCTGAATCGAAAACGGGTCATGCTGCACGGGACGTGTAAACACACCCGTGCAATTAAACTATCTAACGACTTAATGCGACTAATGTGATTGAAAGTGGATGAGAAACTATGGAAGCCGGTGGCACAAGTATGAACATGAATTTCCTGATTAGATAACAAAATGTGAAAAACTTAAGTAGAAATATTTCATTTTATCTTTTTTGACAAAAATATTTTCGTACTTTTTAATTTTATAGTTTTAGTAAGTAACATTTTTTCTAATGAATTTTTGTTTCTTTTTGAAAAAAGAAATTGGTATTACGGGTGGGAAGAATTATAGAAATTGATTTTTTAATAAAATTATAAGCGATCAATGAATAATAAACGGACTGAAAGCATTTTGGTTGAGAAATTGCAATGAAATTATAATTAATTGGTCAACAAGGTTCAATTGAGTTCGTTGTGTAGTACGCTTTATTATGACTGCTCTATATAGGTGTGTAGTAGTTAACTTGGTGTGATAATTCAGGTGGTCTCCACCTAGGGCAACGCAAAACATATTGCTAAAGCCTTGTGACGACTAGCGGGATCCAATTAAAAGGACAGTTATTTTATACGGTATATCCGTGGTGTAGAGTTCTCTTGATATTTTGTATAAAATGTGTTTAAGAAAAAAGTTATCTTAAATTTCTTAAAATTATACTTTTAAAGGGCGATTGAGAAAAAAAGTCAATATGGAATGAAAGAAAATTATTCTATCTTTCGATTTTCTTCTATATGTTCCTTTCATCTGGAACGTTCCTGCCCCTGTCCAATATCAATTTTCCGACTCACAATATCAACGTTAACGAACCCCTTCGTACTTACGCGATGCAATGTATGCTCCACTCGATCGACAAAAATGATCAGTTATCTGTATGTCATATTGATTAAATAATAACCACTCTATCAGTATTCGCAGTTAGATTTGAAAAGCTAATTTACAACGCTGATATTATGAATTTTATTTTGCTAATCTATAGCAACTTCTGCTGAATTTTAATTGTGTTTTAAAAATATTAATTTTGTTTTTAATCACACATATAATATTATCATTTAAAAAGGAAGTATAAAAAACGACAATTTTTCACGTCTTTAAAAAATAATGTATGTCAGATTCTTTAAATTGTCTTTAAATTATCAAAATTTTAAACATTATATATCCTTATATAAATAGATATTTGAAATTATGGAATATTATACAGTGATGCAAGTTAATTTGTATACAATAAAATAATTTTATGATTGATTAGTTCATAGAAAATGCCGTAGTATTAGCCCTGAATGTGTTTCTGTTTGATCGTGTCCATGGTTCCAACGTTGCTCGTATTATTATGTATACGAACCATAGAGCAAAGGCGAACCCAAGGACCGTGAAGACTCCATAACTACAAATAAATCAATGTTATACTACTGCAATCATCTTGGCTTCCAAAATAATCATAACTTAGATTAAGAATGTCTCGTACTTTGTAAACCAAGCAATAAATACTCCAAGACTTATGATTACAAGTAGACTATAATTAGCTAACGGACGTAAACTAAGTCGAGGCGGAATGCGTTCCTCGTATCCGCTGGACAACCCAGTTTGTGTTCTTTTTGGTAGTTTCACGACTTTCGTTGGTGATTGTAATATCTGTCGACAAATGCTGCCGAAGAAACCACGTCGATGGTACATCTTAGTTATCTTATGTCGGTACTGTTTAAAATACACGGTTATATAATTACAAAAATGAAGCTAATGTAACTTAATAATTCGATTCTAAAATGTTATTAAATGTACATTTACCTTCACATTTATGTATGTACAGAGTTTATATAAATTTCTAACAAGTAACGCGCATTCGTTACTTCGAACTGGTTGCAATTCCGGATCTCCCATGTATTCGATATATTGACATGTCTGTCTATCTTTCTGATTAGGTACAAAAACACCTGGTTTGCTTGTATCTAAACTAGAGTCCATCTAAAAAATTAATGAGTTAGGATTTTTCTACTATAATAAGATTTTTTAGATAATCAGATTTATACTTGTGATTGGTGACAGAAGGATGTCGATAGAATACTCTCGTGGTATTCTTGGTCAGCTTCAATAGCTACCTGAGGAATGTCTTCTACTTTAATCTGTAAAAATTATGTTTAAACCAAATCGCATGATATTTAAAATTAGGAAATCTACCATCTTTTATTACCTCGAAAATGTCAATTAACTGTTGCTGTGCATTCGCTAGATAAACAGGAACACGACGCCTTTCTTCTATACCAATATCATCCGAAGAATAGTCTTCGCCATTAAAAAATTCCCATATTGCTAACAGAAATGGTCTGTTTTTTCTCTTCTTCTCCAATGCATCGATTAAACTAGTTGCTGTTAAATGTGCTTGTTTAATTGTGCCTAATAGACATACGACCTAAGATAGAAATTAAAAAATAATTAAATACTTTGGGCATGTATTTTACGTTTTACGTACCTGTGAAATAGTAGCCATAGAAAACATTAGAACATATTGGTATGTCGGTCCTTCAAGCTCTAAAATTTGTTGTCGTACAGTTGAAGTCCATTGATTTGTAGATACTCGACTTCTGCTTAATCCAACATCATCCATGTGACTTTCTATTTCGCATATTATTTTTGCTAAAAACGGTTGCGAAAAAACCTGAAGAGTATAAGTTTGATAAATACGTGTTAGCGGACAATCCACGTATCTACAAAAACTTAGCATACTTTTGTAACTCTGAATAACATTAACGCATTCTTTGGAGCTACAAGATCTGTTCTCATAAATCGTGGAAGTAATTGTTGAAATATAGCTGTGTAGGCTAGTAGATTATGTGCTATGAAAGGCATCCATCTATATGCATCATGTATCTTTCCTCTCTCTTCCTCTTCTGCTTTACTGTAAAAAAGTAAAATAATTTGTAATAATAATTTCTCAACAGACCTTTTACTATATATACATACCCTTCCTTAGTATACGTTATACTAGGGAAATATCTCCATGGTTGAATAAAACTTAACCAAGCTTCAAGAATCAATCTAAAGGAACTATCTAATGGCCAATGATGTATGGCTTTCCGAAGGAATGTGTAGATTTTACCTTGAACAGAAGGCAAAATAATTCTGAAATGGTAAAAATATAGATTATAGTATTAGTATAATATTTAATTGTTGTTTAATTCTTTTTTTATTATGTATATACCGTTTAAGTTCATCCATCGCACTTTTGTCACCTATCGAGCTATTTGCAAATTCATGCAAAGTTTTTATAAATGCTCGCACTAAACGTATATGCTCTCCGGAATGGATGCTGTGCTGTAATTAAAGTTACATAGAAATGTATATATATATTTTATGAAAAAATTTCAAATGTAAACTTACTCGACGTGGAACGGACGCAGAATATGATGTGCTTATTCGTGGATTTAATTGATCATCTTCTATGTATTCTACCCAAAAGTCGAGAAATACTTGCACTACGGTTTCACTTCTCCAAACTTGCGGTAAACATTGTTGCTGTGGTACGCTCGTTGTAGAATTCGGAGATCCTGGTGATAATATCGACGTTCTCAAAAGTCGCGGTGTTTGCATTCTGTAATAATTTCTGATTTTTAACTTATTGTCTAGTTCTAAAGAAGTGCCTTTTTATTTATATATCCCTTATTAAAGTATCTTTTGTTTTGCTCCAAGAATACCTTTTAGATTCGGGTGATTGTACTAATTTTCGTTGAGGTGTTTTCCTGATGTATGGACTAATTATTGGCAGAACTGGAGAATTATCTTTAGGTAGAAAATGGTATAAATAACAGTGTGCCAATTGAACATAAACAGTTTCCCAATTGATCCAAATATTCTCCTGTTGCTGCACCTGCAGCCAGGGATTTGTCAAATGATATGCAAAGTGGAAGATATAATATTCAAAGGGATATGTATAACTGTTAAGAATTTATCTTACACAAATTTTTAAAAATATTTCATGAAATTATTAAACAGAAATATAAAAAGGATACTCATGTTTAAAGCAGATACACCACGTGTACCCTGGTCATCTCTGATTTTGTCTAGATAAAATGGAGGTATTACTCCTTCCTCTAACATCGAACGTATCTTTACCTGAAATAAAAAAGACGTATATGAAACTTAATTTTTATTTATTCTATAATTGTCAATAATGTATAGATCTATTTTTACATACAGGTAAAAATGAAACTGGGAAGTTGTATTTCAAGTAACAATCTGGCAATAACTTATAACATAAAGAAAAAACTGGTCCTTGTGGATTAAGAAAGTTATAAAGCGTTTCATGTTCCTGTGGATTTTTTTTAAAAGTGATGCTATGTAGTCCCCAACCAATGTTATCAGTTATTCCGAACAGCGAGTCTACTAATATGGAAAATACATGTTGCAATTCTGTTGTGCTTGATTCATCTATCAGCGTTGCTATTTCCTTGCATCTTTGTACCAATGGCATATTTATGTATCTTTGTAGTTTGATCTATATAATAATTAATGGACTAAATTAGATAATAATGCAGTCATTGAATTAACTTACATAAATCTGACTTATAAATACTAATAGAATTTTTAGAGCAATGTATTATATAAATTTTATCAGTTTTATTACTATTATTTTATTTAAAATACATTATATACATATTACATATATTTGTATAATACAGTTACGCAAAGATAAAATATATACAATATTTTTTATATCAATTTATTCACAGAAAATGATACATTTTTAATCAATACAAAGCAAATTGTATTTTTTTATTGAATAAATGTTTTGTTAAGTTATTTCAAATAAACCAGTTAAGAAATTTTAGGTTAAATTGAGGTTAGGATATGTTAAGGCAATAAAATTTACAAGTTAAACATTTATAAACTATAATACACGTATGCAATACCGTAGCAACGTCTGAGGATGCAGCCATGTCTGTATTTGTTCGAGTTTACGTGAATTGTTAGAAATAACATTTATAAAAGTATAACTGACTTAATTCGCGCTTTATACACAAATTAAGTTGTAATATTTACCACTATAAGAAATTTTTTCCCTAGCAGAATCTCCCAATATTTTAGGAATTTTATGCTTTCAAAGTGCATATTTTGTGGATAAAAATGATAAAAAATCAAATTCATTATTTTTTATATAAAAGTTCATTTATATTTGTATTTAATACAATCCTCTTTTGCATTCAATTAATAGTTCGTCGTTTGCAAGGTAACTCTCATTCAACATTCATTATTGCATTCCAAGTTTCCTCATGGTGATTAGCAATGCTATGTAATTATGCAATGCATTGAAAATATAAAATCAAAGTGAATCTCATTGTTTTTTCTGACTACATGAATAAATTCCAGGTTTATATGTCGGTAAAAATGGTACGTATTGTGTCCATTTCCATCTGCAGAAAAATGAAACAAGTTGATAAATCATTTGAAGAATTAAAAAATGTTAAAAAGATATTATTTAAAAAAGCTTCACCTTCGTAAAGCATCCATTCCAAATGGAAAATCAAAAGTATTGAACATATACTCTTGGTCTTCTTTGTCGTCCTTTTCGGTATGTAATTCCATTTCCTTTGACCAAGCAATGAGCCCACGTTCCTCAGGGGTACCTTAAAAAATTGATAATAGTAAATGCATACGAAATATTTTATTGTTTTATAAAGCGAAACAATTGAAAATTCACGAACTAAAGATAATATGATTTTTGTACAAATTGTACCTGGTATAATATTATCTAATAAACATCCTATTACACCCCCCACCAAGATAGTCGTACTAAGTAACACGGTAAATACACTGTCGACTATGTCATTTCCGGTTTCTATTACACCTGAGTGATTGATCATCCACTTAGATAATACCTGAAAATTCATGAAGACAATTTAGATTTCAATTGGTATCGTAAATCAAGTTCAAATACTACTTCAAACAATTACGCTACTGCTATATAATCGTGAATTATACGTAACAAACAATTAAGGAAAAACTGAAATTGATGAACATTTAATTAAAAATAACTTTACCAGTGGAAAGAAAATGGAGAATCCAAGAATGTACAAATTCCTTGCTGAATTTAAATTTATGTATTGCAACGCAGAGAGGCCTAAAAGAACCATATATTTAAATAGTTTTTACTTTGGTCTTAGAGTAATTTTATTGTAAAAGATATATTTTAGTATACCAAAAGCAGTGATCATTCCAAACATCACGCAAAATATTCCGCCGACTATTGGTTCGGGGATAATGATAAAAACAGCGCCAAATTTGCTAATCAATCCTTGGAGAATCATCAAGACACATGCCCATTGAATAACTCTGCGACTGCCTACTTTCGTAACACCTGATAATGTTTCGTTTAAACAATGAGTTTAAAACACCATACTTAAATCGCTATAAATCACTTATAAACACAGAAAATGTAACTCGTATTCTTTGATATTTTTTTCTGTTTTTTAGGAAACTCAAACGATTTACCAATAGTTCCCACATTTTCTCCAAACGTGTTTGTACCGTTCCCGCTACCCCAAAGTCCAGCTAACATCGTACCAAGCCCTTCTATGCCGATACCTCGGTTAATGGCGTGAACCGGCGGAGGTGGTGCGCCTGAAAATGGAATTTCAAAAAATATTAGCTACAAAATTTAAATTCCATAATTTCTGAATTTTTTTTTCAATTTTATAATTTTCACAACTTTTAATATTTAGATTCTTAAATCCTTTAATTTTCAAACTTTTAAATGTCTAAGTTTTTTAATTTTTAGACAGTTATATTTATCTGCCACTGTGACATTGGACTTAAATTAGAGTACCAATTGTTTTAAAAACTTTATCATTCATTTTGGATGAGATATCCGCTATCTCGAATGCTATTATGTATTGCATAAGTTAAACACAAGTAACTGATCTCGAGCAAAACATACTTTGCTAAAATATTCATATTTAATTAGTAGAATAATTATATTGAGCAATGTAATTGCAGTTCTTGGATTTTACTTACCGCACATCCTGGAGGTAGTTGGATAATAACTGATAGATTCCACCGTACACGCTAATACACCAGCTAACATACCAAGTACACCAGACAGGGATACGGTCGGTGTACCCCATTGACCAGGATATGGGACACGGAACCATGGAGAATCATTGATAATCTTTAATTTACTATCTGCTCTGGCTGGATGACCGACTGGCAAAGCATCCGTCACGGTTAAAATCGCGCAAATTATCCACATGACTACTATTGTTAACAGTACCTAATACGAAAAAGAAATAAAGACAGAAATGATAAAAACTTGAATGAAGGAAAGTTGGTACTAAAAATACAAACGTATAGAATATAAAGAAGAATAAACGTAAAATAATTACCGGGAATAGCTTAAATAATTCAAACCACACGATGCTTATTCCCTGACCCTTACGGTACATCAATATCGGGAATGGCACATTAACAAGTATTTGAGAATACAATGTTAACATCAATATTGTTCTGCAAGATCAATATACAAGAAGTTATGTACACATCATACACTTTCCTCGTTACGTATTAAATTTATTATTTCATTCGTTGATTAAATTATATGAACAATATTATCAATGTAAAAAGAGAAAATATGTATACATCAATTTATACGTTATATCATCACTATATAAATATAAAAAAGATGAGCTCACCCAGCTGCTATACCCCAATGTTGAGAGGCAGCGTCAGCTGCATTCTCAAAGAGAGATATTCCAACGAGAGAGACAGTTGGCACAATAGTCAGTGGCGTAATAAATTTCAACAAATATCCAATAATACCTATTCAGAAAATTCCATTAGAGAAAGAAGATTTAATAGCCAAAGAATGTTTTGTCTATGATTACAATACCTCCAAATCCAATAACTACTTGGAACAAAGCGGATACAGCGATGGCCCCTGAAAGTTCCCTCATTCTAATTTGCCATAGTTCTGTGCGGTTCTCCGGAGACATTTGATTTAAAACTTCCGGCTCTGGACACTTCCATTGTGGTAAACTTAGTATCGCCAATGTTGGGACTAAAAAGGATATAGTTCCTCCTTGAACTAGCGGCAACCTACGGCGAAGAATAGGAAAAATAAGAAATATACAACAATTACTAGTTAATCGTGATATATTCGCGTCGATAGTAATGAAGTTATAGTTTTCGTTAGAATAATACAGAATCAAATATGTAACATGGCAAAATTTCAAGAAATTTTCGTGTCGAAAGTATATTGAAATATTGGGATGTAGGAGTAAGTACTGCTATATCAAAATTCTAGAGTCTGGAAAGATACTGAGTAGAATATTGATATATTACAAAGTAGATCTAAGGACTATACATAATGTAAAAAACAAATTGAAAAGAAGATTTCCCACTACTAGAACTATAATTTTAATCATAAAGTTTGAAGTAATAAACGAATATTATTTTTCCCGGAAGCTGTTGGGAATAGTTAACGATCTATAAATCTTGTTAAACAAGAGTTCAAAATGATCCAGCAGCAATAAAGTTACGAAAATTAGCATTAGAACAAGCTGAAAAACAGGAGTTACCAAGCATGAAACATGTATAAATATTAGCTGCGAAGATAATTCCACTATCCAGCCTTGATCCTCGAATTCATGCACGTACATAAATTAACACGTGTGCCTTTCCGATAGCGTTTCTAATCGCTCTCGTCATTCATTTAAATGCAAATATTACTCTTTTTTATTACGCGATAATAATATGTAATAATATTGAAACACTGATATACTCATTATCATCATGATAAGATCTATAGCATAAAAGATCATAAATGAGAAAAAAAAGACGACTTTAATTTTTCTATTTATTGAAAGATAAACATAGAAGAAATAAAACAGAAGTGCAAATTTTGTCGTTTAGAGATGAATTATCTTTCTCTTATTTTCTTAAAATTTTGTAAACTGAAAAAGCTTGTCAGTGGCTTCTATTACTATTACTAGATAGCACTTTGTACAAAATTTCATATTCTTATAAATATAACTAAAAATGTGAAGCTTAAATAGAAATTTCTTTCTCATGCTAAATATTTTAAGGGGTACTATCCATGTATATGCATAATGTATATTTTTGTATCTTTAAATTTCTTATAAATGCACAAACTTTCTACTTATTACGAATACTCTTGTTTCAAGACGAATTCTTTATGAATTTCGATATATATCAATAACACATAGTAGCTCGACGAAGCTTATATCAGTAACAAATTGCTCGAGATTCATATACGTAATTGTTTCACGGTATTTGTAATGGTAATTGTAAATGCCGTCTCGTGCCTCCTTTGGCGCCTATCAAACGTCACTTATCAATTTAATGCTCTAGCCAGAATGATTCGCGGTAATTTGAGTCGAGTATACAAAAATGCTCTCATAAATTGAAGAAGCTCTATAAAAAAAGGATTAATTTACTGTATTACTTTTGAAACGACTTTAATAACGACGAAGTTAAATATGAATTACGAATCATTTATATCATTTAGATCGACAAAGACAAATTTTTGTTAATTTAATTACCTGCATCCTATGGTGGTTTGGAAGAAAGTGACCAGTCCTGTGACGAAGATCATGGTGGAAATTATATAACTTCTCGATGGATCGTCCTCCGCCATGCACAATGCTGGAGTAAGGATGAAGGGAATCGAGACTATTGCACCTATCATCGTTAGATAATGCTGAAAAACATATTACTCTTTTCGCAAATGATGTTAACAATAGGAGATAGGAAATTTAACGGTTATGGAAAAATTTTGATGATATCAGAGAATTAACTAGACTTAGAGCTTATTAAATGATTATGGTAATCTTGATCGGTCTTGGATGAACACAGTCGAATATCTTATCAAGACAAATTATATAAATAGGCAAGTAAATAGGGAAATAAATCGGTCCACCTCCTCTTGGCTTTCAGAATGTGCTTATCTCAAATAAGTTATCTGATTCAAACATCAGCTTTAGTTTATATCTATATTTTTCTGTATCCTTGAGGAATTTGAGCAACGTGAAACATTTTTGAAAAGAAAAACACGTTCGCTTTTCCTTGATGTTAAATATAAGATGTACAAGTGGTTTTCTTCCTACAAGAATATTTTACGCTTAATTTATTACAATAAAAAGTACCTGTAAAGCCATAAATAAGCAAAGATACCAGGGCGGGACATCGTCGATGCCATAATTGAGATTCGTGCTCCTGTTATTGCCAGCAGTTTTAGTATTCGACAGTGGTAATGTTGAATTTTCTAGATTCTGAAACAATAAACAGGTGCACGCTGCATAATACCAGCTTTGAACAATTATCTTTGACTTTGTAGGATATTTAAAACCGCATGCAGTATTAATTCTGACAAAAGATTGTACTAGAACTTGTTTAGATTTTTAAGGATTGTTTGTACTAAAATCCTTTCTAGATTTTATGAGGGCTGCCTATCTTTTCTTTACTTATTTTTTTTTTTTTTTGTAGGAGGAGTGGAGGATTTTTAATGAAACCGTAATTTGTCCTCTTTTGCTAGAAGCAACCAGAATTTAAAACTCTGAAAAGATATAAGCAGCATCGTCGCATACAGTAGAATATATTTTTTATAATAAGCTCGGTTACGTAATTACGTTGGAGAACCAACTCGCCAGGAATAACTGTATCATAGTGTTCATTAAGACAATGATATATTGTTTTATTAATTAACACATTGAAAAAAGGTAATTCAATTAAAGAAAAATTTTTTTCATCGGTTTTTCCTATGTAAATGTTTTAAGCGCTCTTCACTTAATTTACCATTTTATTACCGTTACCATCCGAGTTTTCTATCTGTCTAATATTGTAGTGTTAATTATCAATGATCAATGACTCCGATTGTTATCCTTTCTTATTTCAAAATATTTGCCGGAGAATGTAATATAATGCGATTAGATTCTAATATTCCAGTATCAATACTGTATAGATGCAAAAGTTCACTCGAAGCGGGAGGAGGTCTATACTTTTTAATGGTAAAATAGAATGTATCTCGCAATCTTGAATCTCTAATTACGATTCACGATCCACGACGTAGCCAGTGTTCTTAAGCGTCAATTAGAATCTAAATATATACGTTATATATCAATACTATCCTTTCTCAACAACACAACCATTAAAGTTCACAGTCAATTTTACGCCTTAAGTGTACGCAGTGCCTCTCAGCAATATTTAGGATAGGAATACACTTGCGCCAAAAATTGTTGTGATCCAAATATATCCATATATATAACATTTGATGATTACTAATAAAAACTTTAAAAGTAACAATAATGATAATTTATATTTTAAATCGCGTTAAGCTTGATACGATAACGTTAGATTCCAATTAATAATCTGAGAGCCACTATTCATCTAGTAGTATTCACTTATATATAGTTTGGGAGAATAGAAATCAGACGGTATAAATGTGGTTCTCCGAATTGAAAATCTCTATCAGTAGAATACTGAACTGTGAAATACCGAAAGAATATAGAATATAGAATGATCGACTTTTTAAATTAAGCTTTAACCGATATTTTAAAGCGATTAATTAAATAAATACAAGCAACAAATATTAGATTTATATATATATACGAATATTTATTATTAATTCGTATAGGAATGAGTGAGAGTGAGAAATACGAAAACCAAGTTCCCGTTTCGCGTTGTAAAGCCGAAAAATAAAAATAAAGTACTATACTATCGATAATCCTACATTAATACACGAAATATTAGAAATCAAGAGCTATACAAACTATGAAGATTTCAAGTCGTCACTAAACATTATCGAACGATGAATTATTTAATTGTTCCTCCAACTATTTTAATAAACAACGTACCATTAAATCCAATTATTTTATGCGATTGACATTCGAATCAATAAAAATCTCTTTATTATAAGAGTTATGATATTATATTGTAAATATGATAAAAAAAACAATCAAATTTATAATATTATAAACATTATGAAAGACAATCAATCAAAAACGAGAACGAAAAATTATAATCAAACGCCGTTTTCCCAGTTACTTACTATTTCGGTCATCTGTATTCCATTTTCAGGCATATTGAAATTATTTTGTTCACGGAATACAATTAATATTCTCTACAGCACTGCAATAATAAAAATCCAGCGATCCACAATTACGAGAAGCTCCAAACGATCCGCCAGGAACCGCGGGAATATAGCGAAAACTCTTCGAACTTCGATGACCACGCGTGCACGTTAAACCGACGTTAACAACGAACTGTATCAATAGGCGACATTGCTCTTTAATTTATCCCTATATGACTACTTCGAAACGAGGAACTAGTCGATCTCAGATTTTTTTGTCTTAGATAACAGACACCACCAGCGAAATTTCACTGAAAATTCATAATTAGAGAAGCGACTAATTGACGGCAATTAAAAGTTAAAATAGATAAAAATGTGTCTCATAACGTCATCGTTATTGACCCCGTTATTCGATACAACGCAAAACGCGTATTTAAAAGAAAAAGAAGTCTCATAACATCGATGAAAAAATCAAATAGAAAAGCTTCTCAAAATAGCGTTTTGATTGTAAATAAAAAAATTGTCAAATAATTAGTAGTATTCTAAGGCTGGATCTGCTCAAAGATAATGTAATTGTATCTCTTAATTAATTTTAATTTGTTTGTTGCGATTGTGTTGCGATCGTAGTGCTCATAGATTGTACAATTAAATTTTCTGGGAGCTTACATATCAATTATTTGCCAAAGAATCTCGCGTGTATAAATCCGCATTGATAAAAATAATATTATCTATAGTCTGGCCCGAATTTGAGGGAAAGAGTATTGATGAATATGCTACTATCGATTTTGTTAAACAGATCATCGATCAACGCTTTATCGATTATTCAGTGGCTGGAGATAGTTTTTAAATTTGATACGTAGTATAAATTTTATACTACGCGTATAGTATCAAATTTTATTTTTTTATTTTATAATTTTTTATAATTTTTGTATTTTTATTAACTTCTATATTACGAACCGAAATCTATTTTAATAAATTGTTCTACGTTGACTACCAATTATCTATCAAATGAGAGTTTAAATCCAAGCTATTACTTTATGTACACCTTTTCACAGTAAATTAGTAATACAATGTAAAGACAAGCGTAAAGACAAAATTCTATCACATTGTACTGTTTATAGAGATGTAGATATGGTTTTGATCATCCGTGGTTTTGATAAAGTGCAATAAAATCGGATTTTTGACCGGAAATGATAATGTTTGAGATCACAAATATTCTTATTTTTTCATTTTATTGGACTCTCGATAACCAAGGATCACTATATCTTTCTAGAAAATTAAATAATTTCCGTAACGTTATCTAATAAAAAATTTGATAAATTATTTACAGAAATATAAGTCGAAATAGCAATAAACGTTATGAGCGAAGATTCTAAAATTGTTAGTTCCGTAAGAATTTGATTCTCCTGCCAGAATAGTGGGGGCGCTTCTGTTTCGAAAAATGAGTAAGCGTAGAGTATTCAGCCTCAATACCCGCATAGCCGTAGCTGTGTATCATAACCTATCGAAGTGCTTCTCCGTACTCGTAAATAGACGCCCTAACAACGCCCTAAGTTCATGAATCTTTTCAATTTTTCTGAAATTTTGTGAAAAAGAATTGGACAAATATTTAAAATGGATCAACTGGGTGAACCTATGGACATAGAAATAATCCCAGTTACCGATGATGCCAAGAATGTTGATTCTGAGCAAATCGATGTAGAAATTTTTAATTCAAACAACATGCAACAACATGCAGAGGTAAGAAAATATTAAATATAATCATTTTTCATGATTAATGTGCATGTTTTATAAATTTTCTGATTGTCATTTTGTTTCAAATTTTACAATACATGAGACATAAACGTAGATGGTATATACATATAATGAATTCGTTGATTTCTTGCTTTGACTAAGGATTACTTTACAATTTTAAATTGTAAAAGTGTTATGTATACACTAAATTATGAAATTAGATATTAATGCATTATATTTTATATTCAAACAGATACAGTTAGACAGCCGTTATGAGAATCGTGGTGGTACTTTCATGACAGGCGTAGATATATTTAGTAAGGAAGAAAAATTGAAAATGGAAGAAAGAGCCAAACGTTTTGGATTAACTGACAAAATAAAGAATAATTTATCAAATCCAGAACAAGATTTGTATTCTAGGTAAGGACTCTGATAAATATTTGCTTGATAGATAATATAAAATAACTCGGATATATATATAACATAGGTTGTCTTAATTTTTAGTATGGGCATTGTGGAAGATAGTGAAAATACAAAAAATATCAGACTAAATGTAATACACATGAGAGGCACGGAAGAAATGAGTACGAAAGATGTCTTCAAATATTTTGAAGATTATGCTCCAGCCTCCATTGAATGGATTAATGATGTTTCATGTAAGAACAATTTAAATCCATAAATTTTACTAACATAACTATCAATGATTCCAAAAGATTGAATTATTTATAAATTTCTTGTTCTTTATTTACAATATAGGTAATGTGGTATGGTTAGATAATTTATCGGCAGCTAGAGCTATATTGGGATTATCAAAAAGAATTATTGGTTTGGAAAAGCAACAAACTATAAAATTATTCGATGGTAATCCCGATGAAGAAAACAATGTAACTAATGATGATTCTATCGTTGAAATGGACGAAGATCATGAGATCACAAACACTACAAAGGAGACAGGAGAAGATTATATAAGTATCAAGGATATTAATTGCCCATTACCTCCTGGCTTGTGGAGGAAAGGGATAAATTATCCTAAATCTAAAGCGATATTCCTCAGATTTGCTACCAGAGCCGATAAAAAACAACCTAATGCAGAGAAAATGAGTGAATATTATAAAAAATATGGAAACCCCAATTTTGGAGGTATTATTACAAACATTATTAAAATGTCCTTACAAATTACAAACATTATTAAATTATCCAAATATTAAATAATATTATTTCATGCAGGTATTAAAGGAATTTTAACTGAGTCTCGAAAACGGTTGTACAAACAAATCAGACAAAGTAAAAGAAAATTCAAAGAAGAGCCGCAAGACGATGTTAAAGATAAAAAACGTGTGAAGAACCCCTGGGGTGCGTTATCTGAAAGTTGGGGACTCAATGATGCTATAGAAAGTGAGTTTGGCACCAGAAATGAACCTAAAGATCAAGTGCGTAGTGTAAAGGAAAGATTAGGGGTAAAATATCCTTCAAAAGAAACTACACACACTGAAGAACAACGAAGTAATTCGAGCAGTGATAGTGAAGATGAGTGGTGTAAAAGAAGTAAAGTGTTGCGAATGCGAATGCATGCGGATGATGAAGAAGAGAAGATACACAAACGACGTGCCAAACTTCAACAGGTCAGTAAATTTTACTATTAGCTAAATAAATTTTATACAATAGAGGAATTTATTTAATCATTTATTATGATACATTTGCAGACTATGTTAAATAATTTAATTAGAGGCAATGATTTACGATCGAGGCTCAGCTCTCCGAGGAAAGGAACGCAATTTCATGATGCAATTCAAGTAGTTGTAACAAATACAACTGCAACAAAGTCGAATTCTTTAAAGCTTAATGACTCAGAGGTAATTATTGTTAGAAATTTAATATTGCGTTATATGCATATTTACATTTAGTAAAAATCATTGGATACGGGTTTTATTTATGACATATAGGAGGAAGATGGTGAAATTATCGAAGATAATGAGAGCCAGGAAAAGGAAGAGAGCGAATGGCAAGGCTCTGATGAAGAGGAACAGGAAGAAGAAGAGGATGAAGACTATAGTGATGAGGATAGTGACAAACCCGCAAGAGAAGTTCAAGGACCTAAGGGCAGTGTAATAAAAGTAGTTCAACATAAACCTCGCGTTGCTTCCACAGTGTGGGCGAGACTGAACAATGTAAAAAGTGAAGTTGTTGATAACTCCATTAAAGATAGGTAAGTATTGAAACAAATCAATATTAATGTTTATATGAATTATGAATAATATTTGGAAATAACATATAACAATATTTTAAAGGCAACCAAGAATACGAGATCTAAGAAATACATTAAAAGGTGATCTTCGGTCTCGAATCAGAAATCATACAAGAGGTCGCTCTCCTTTAAGGATAGAAGTGAAAAATGACAAATATACCGAAGGAAGTGAAACAGAATAATTGTCGATTAGTCGAACGAATTGTGACAAAAATGTGAAATATGGTTGTGGTGTTGTTTGAGTGGAAGAGTATGATATGGTGCAAACTTCATAACTGATGTATAAAAGTACAGAAAATGCACTCATTACACCGAATTTATTACAACTTCATTTAACTCATAGGTTCTTGTTTAAATTAACGATGCCCTAAAATTACACGAAGTTATATTTTAATCGTGAGCATATTTATTTATGTTAATAAGATATATACGGAAAAATCTTTTTGATATACAATCGAATAATGAAATTTGAAACAATGTATATTTTTAGCCTTAGTTGATTACGTATCTTGCACTACCAGAATAGACCAAGTTTCTGTGCGTGTAAGAGTTTAAAATTTTATGTTTAAGTACAAATATTTTGAGAGAATATATATTGTATAGATATTTCTGGGTATAAAATTTCCCCATATTTTTTATTCATATTACACAATTATAAGTACGGATCGTACATTAATCTTTTAATACGACTAATGTTAACATTTTGCACATATTGATAATCAAGTATCATCTTCCTATTTTTAAAATGCGATAAAATATAAATTAGCGGGTAATGGGTGCTTCTTGGAGTGTATATAAATATTATCTAGGATATAGATAACAATAAAAAAGTTTTTCGATTAACACATTGCGTACTGTGAAAGATAGGACATATTTTTAAATATTCGTTTGTACAATTAACACTTTTACTGAGAATCGTGCATTTTATAATTCCAATTGGAAAAAAAGATATTTTTGGATACGTCATAATTAACAGAGAAATAAATTTATACCTTATCGTACAAAAAAATTCTGCAAACGAATATTTAATTAATTGCACATCGAAACGATATATAGTGATTTTATAATCTGTTTTGTCTTCGGCGATTACATCAGCTTAAAAAGGCAATGAAAAGTGAGGAAAAATACTCGATACGGTTGTAAATAAAAATAAAATTGTACGAAACTTATACTAATATCTTGTACCGAGACTATATATGTCGAGCATTTAAAATATATTTTCCTTACGTACGTAATAACTAATAAAATGTTCCGAAAGCTGTGATTTCTTAGACGTAAACATTAAACGAAAAGGAGATGCAATTTCATAACGCCAGTTAATCAGCCCTCTTTGATTTCAATTACAGAATGAAATTTTTGTTGCGTAATAATTAAAGATCTATGTGTAATTTTTACACATATCCAACAAGATGTAAAAAATATGACAAATGGACAGAATTATATGAATATTCTGTATTTTCAAGTTCAGAAGAAATAGGGATAAGAATAATTATGACATCGATTCCGAATAATTGACCAATAAAGCCGCTTTTATATTAGCACGATAATACTTTGAATAGTCATTTTAAAATACAATAATCGATAATTATGATTTCAGTACATATATATGTATATATATATATATATATATATATATATATATATATATATATATATATATATATATATATATATATATATATATATATATATATATATATATATATATATATATATATATATATATATATATATATATATATATATATATATATATATATATATATATATATATATATATATATATATATATATATATATATATATATATATATATATATATATATATATATATATATATATATATATATATATATATATATATATATATATATATATATATATATATATATATATATATATATATATATATATATATATATATATATATATATATATATATATATATATATATATATATATATATATATATATATATATATATATATATATATATATATATATATATATATATATATATATATATATATATATATATATATATATATATATAATAATATATATATATATATATATATATATATATATATATATATTTATCATTTACACAAATAACAATTAGTCAGAGAAATATTCGGCTGAAGTAATTTGAGAAAGAAAAATAAGAAAAAGAAAGATGTATCGTTCGAAGAACACAGTGGATTATCGGAATATTCTTTTAGCCGCATTCATAGGTTTCTAGCCGTTACTTTGATTCTCTACGTTAATTTAATCTCACTTTTGTACTGCTTACGGTCTCAAATAAAAATTATTCTACTGCAATTTATTAAGAAAAATAATTAATCACATTACAAATGACTAAGTGGAAGCTCAAAATATTGAAAATGATAGATTCTATGAATGCAGCTTGGAGGCACGAGGTAATGTAATGCATTAACAAACGAGATGCGATATTTTTGACGCTATTAAAGCGCGTGACAGTTTTTTTAACTTACATATTTATCTAAAATCGCGTGAAAACCATTTGGTAACTACATTTACTAACCGTGACTTGAATTTACCTAATATTATTATATCTACATTTTTATATGTTTCATCACGTGTAAGATCTACTAGATTCGTGAACTAGTCCTCGCCAACTAATATTCATTTCTCTCTGTTTGCTTCAGAATCAGAAATATCAATCTCGTTTGCTAAAAGGCAATCGTGCAAGATATCGAGGATCTCTTTCGTCTATCCTACATAAAAACTGTTGATGTATTTTTTAATTTAATATTTTTCCCTTTGTCAAGCCAATCAATAAACGCCATTTTCTTAGTATTATTTTCGTACTTTTTTTTTTTTTAATTCCCTTCGTCTTGTTTCCTCTTTTTCTTCTCTTTTTTTGTTCTTTTTGTTTTCTCATAAATGACGTATAACATTTAAAATCCATAGACGAAATATTCTTTTTATATTCGGATATATAAGATATGAATCGGCAACAACAACAAATACACGCAACGTTTAAGTATATTAGGCCTGATGGTATTGATAATAATTCTATCAATGTATATTAAACGCTACAATCTATCGTTGCTCGCATTTCACTTGCATCCTATGTGTCTCTTTCTTCGCGATAATGGTGTCCCAATGTTATCAAAATTTTTTCCTCCTCATTTTTTAATAATATTTTTTTAATTACATCAGCAGCCGTTATGGATTCTTAAGAATATCCGACAACAGGTTTACATTTGATGACGTCCCGTGAAATTTGTACGTTTGCACAAGGTACGATACTTAACACACGATCACAGCAAATGTACAATATTTCTTGCGTTTATTAATCGTTTTTAATTAAACATCAAATTTCATATACCGAGAAGAGAACAGACACGAACTCGAAACTTTGTGGAATTTAAATGCATCGCAACTTTGTTTCTTAATACATTTCATTAATACTTCACGTTTGATATTGATCTCGTCCTTCTTACGTATATAAACGAACAGAAAGATCTTTAAAGATTCGTCTCACCGCTTATTAGATGAACAGTATAATAAATTGTAACGAAAACTTACAAGTCAATCTAGTTTTGTTGTTTCGTTTGATAATGTCTGAACTTTATGCTTAAACTCTGACTTGTAAGTTTTTCCTTCTTTTTTTTTTTTTTTTTTTTATCAGTTTTCCATTTTTGTTTGTTTAATTCAATTTTCACGTTGGAAACGAATTTGGAACACCGATATCGTCATAGTCAGCCAGCCGACTCGTTACAATGTCCCCTCGGTCTTATCGAGGTAGCTCGTGAAAATTATTCGACAAACATTTCGCGGTTCGCTAATCGTTCGCATCTACTTTTTGAGACTCTGAGAATTAACGTCTTAAATACATACACAGATTAAGTTACGAAATTCGGACACATAGCAACTGTACACGCAGAAAGATTCGGACATATATAAACGTCGTTCAAAAATCAGCTTCACGCGTATAACGCTTGAAGATATTTCTTTATTTATTTAAGCTTCGAAGATAAAATCGAAATGCATACGAGGAAGGGAAGATTATACATGAATTATTCTTTAATTTATATTTTTTATAAGAAATTAATGAAGCTTTGAGGGAACATTATATTTCTCTTGTGTCCATCACTTTCCTTCTTTTTTTTTTTTTTTTTTTTATAATTTCGATAGATGATGATTTATTCTTTTTATAGAAATTTATTGCACAATTCATTAAGGGAGGCAGAATGTAGAAATGTGAACAAGAGCCACAGAAATCTCCGAAATCTTTCTTCTTGTATTGAATGAACTCGTGCTCGAGACACGCGGAGATACTGACAATTTAACGAATTAAGTTAGTTATTCTAGAGAAATTCACGTGTATTTGACAGATAGTAAATTCATCGAAGAGTAAAATTAAATAAATTCTCAGTATCATCAGGCGTATTGTGAGCACAAAGTGGAACGTTTCACATTGAGGATTTAATATGAACGGCATACATATTTCAACGAACGAATGTCCTCTTCGATATTTCTCGCTTGCGCAGAAAACCAGTAAACGAAGGAATTTTCCCAGCATGAAAAACGTATGACACGTAATCGGTTGATTGTTAATTTACATCGGTGAAATCACCGTTGAAAAATTTGTACGACATCAAAGATATAGTTGCAGTTACAAGGACGCGGAATTGTAAAGAGATATCAGATTAGATTCTTCTCTGCAACTAGTGATTCACGACGATATTTGAACACACAGAAACTTTGTCTGAATATAAAGATTAGAGGAGAAAAATGTAATAAGTACATTTCTTTTGGTTTTATGATTTTGTAATGCAACCTTATGATTAAACGGGAAGATTTTAATATGATATAATTAAAAATAAAAGCAAGCCTATATTGAAGAGAAATTTAGAAAATTGAAGTATATTGAAATATATTGAACAGTTAAATTTTCTATGATATAATTACAGATATATTTATAATCATTTTTACAATTGCAAAAATTGTGACGTATTAAACAGAAATTAAAGATGCTAGATCTTCTATGATATGATGCACGCACATTTACAACTGCATAATATAATAAATAGTTTGTTAAAATTGATTGAATTATACTTGACAGAAATTAAAAATGGCTAGAGTATATTTTTATTTTCCTGGAATAAGACAAAGGATAATCTCGTTACCTTTCAATTATATATTTATTGAAACTCTTGATCAAATTCTGACTATTCGTTATTATTTTTAAACGAAAAATTTCATATGCTTGTGAAAATTCCAAATTTCAAACTACGAAGATCAATCGTAAATTATTAGAAGTCTCGTATGAAAATTCCTGTAATATCTCTTTGACTACGATGAAATATTAAATTCTCCTCCGGTAGATTGTTATTTCTCACAAGGTTCCGGATATAAAAGCGGCGACAAGGCTAAATCGATAATCCGATAAATCCTTCAATGCTCTGTAAAGCATAAAAATATGCTGAGAAATGGAAAAGGACACTCGAGGGGAATAATACAACATTCTTCCTCTCTTTCGTTCTCTCTCGAGTTAGTTAAATCGTGAAAAAGGATACTCGAAACCGAAGGCAACGAGGCGTCTTCGTTATTTCCACAGATGAAACTTCTTAACTTTGAGGGAAACAAACGCATCGATGCCTATCTCTTTCTCTTTCGAGTGAATTATTTTACGAATATACAACATACCACTGACATGTGTTTATTAATGGAGAATTATTTTATTAGATTATATCGAAGAACGTGAGATCTGATAATCGAGGGAGGCAAATAGTGTTTTACACTCTGGATCGTTCGTTTTGCGCTCTCTTTCTATATTAACTTTTCTATCGCTTTCTTCGTATCTCATTCTCGCTTACATGATCTCTCTTCCATTTATTTAACAAGACTTTAACCGCTTACTTTCTTGTCTTTGATTTCGACTTTAATTTCGAAGACAAGAATAGTACCCGTTCCTCTTTTTGTTCTTTAAATAAGTATTCCAAGCGTGTCCTCGCCATCTTGAAGATCATCCGATTGTCATTGGAAAATGATGAAACATACTTGTCTCATACAAGAGATTTTTTGTTTCTTTAATTATGATTTTTAGAAAAATAAAAATAGATGATGAAGTAAATTGCTCGTCTCTTATTTGTGCCTCGACATCGCTCAAATTCGTTCCTAAGTTATCACCGGACTGCGGATATTTATGCAATAAAATAATATTTTTGCAGGTATAACTGAAAAAATGGAATCTAAGCAGAAATTTGTCTCACCTATTAATCGTTATAATTTAAGTAATGCACTTTGGATATATTATACATTTTTGCATCCTTAAATTTCTCGTAAATGTATAAATAATCCGCAGTCTAGCTATCACAATCGGATTTCTCGCCATTCACCATCGACGACACGTTCGTGTACCTAGCTCGATTATTATTTTACCCATTTGCCACGACATGTTTCTTCGGAGAAGATGTATCAACTAGGGATATATATTATATTGAATATAAAAAAAGAATCGTTTGAATATACGCGTACATTTAGAGTGAAAAACACGAATCGAAACAAGAACGTTCACATTATCAATTCAATTAACATGGTGAGTGTTTGAATTCAAAGAAGTGGATTATACGAAGAGTGTTTTTTATTGGCTTTTAAATAAAAAAAAGAATGCATAAATAACATAAGAACATGACGTAATTTAAGCTATTTGTGAACGACAAGCAATTGTTCCTCGAAACATCTGTTAATAACAGAAGAAATCAAAAGAAGTAAAACAAGCGAAAGGCGACACATAGTACAGTATAATAAAAATATTGGAAATGTAAAAAATAGAAAAGTTTACATATGGTAATATTCAAACAGACACCATGCGCTCTGTCGCACAAGAATGGCAGTATCAGTGTAATAATACCTGTAGATCGTGAAACAAGAAGTAATTAAACCGCTTAGAAGAACTGGAAGCTGGGTCGAATGCAATTAACTATGAATTAAACGTTTTTCTCGAGTATCTTGCTCTCTTTTTCACTTTTTCATTTGCTCCTTCTCATACATGCATTCATTCGCTCGTTGTGTCATCTATTTTCTTGTATGTCTTTCTCGCTTCCTCTCGTTCGTCTACAAACTAAATTTGATAGAGGCAGAATAGAATTTCTGCGAGGTACATAACTACTATAAGAATGACACTGAATATTATATAATAATAATAATAATAATAATAATAATAATAATAATTAAAATTAATAATAATGGTATTAATAATAATAGTAATCACTAGGTGTAGAAATTGAGAGATATGAAAGATTGCATCATTCATAATATCAACCGCTACATACATTCATTAATAAAATAAACCAACTCCTGAATACCGCAATAAAACACACAATACAATAAACAATGATATTAAAGACGTGCGACATTGAATGAAGTATGCTACATAAGCTATTAAATGCCCTAAAACCAGTTTGCGTCTTAGTCTATACCCGTCGCTCTGAGAATAGAAGAACAGGAGATAATAATAGCAATTTTTTATTAAATTAGAATTGTTCAATAACATAGAGCAGATTTGCGGATGACTTTTCTTACATAGGTGTGCCAGTCATGTATCTATTCCTACAGTGTTCTTGTCTTGTTAAGATTTCACACTACCTTTGGAAAGATTATGAGCCACATCTGTTAATGTGCCAGTAAACTTGTAAATAGGTTTTTGGGTGTAGACACTGATCTGTGTAGATGACACTACTTCCTACAACTTACTTATTACAATAAACTCAAGCAAGATATTTTAATTATACTGTCATCAATGACAAGGTTCCTTAGACAATCCACCAGAGAAAAAGGAAAGTAATTCATTTCATAGGTGATATTCGCAACAAACTCTTTGGTACAACCACTGAAACCTAGGTCAACAAAAGTCACAACTCAGATCTGTTCATTGAGATCTCTACTTTTACAAGAAGCTTGTTAAGCTCTGGAGGAATATTAATCAAAGGAAAGATCAGAGTGCATATATTTTGGTAGAAGATAACAATTTAGTCAATTTGGCTAAATCAAGCATCTTTCACATTTTTATACAAGATAACTTTATTGCTATTATGGTTAAGCTCTCTGTTATCTTATCAGGGTCTCAGTCTAACTTCTGGGATTTCAAGTTTGTGCTCATAATCAGAGATGGTTCGGCATATCAAATTAGGTAACTGGATATCAATGCACAATTCCAATTCTAATGATTGGAGTTTAATGCATAATATTCTTATCCTTCTTGTGGATTTGGGAGAAGAATAGATCTAACGTAATTCCTGCGTGTCGTAAAAGACGACTAAAAGAGAAACTTATTTAAAAATAGAGATCTGAAGTAAAAATCGCTAGAAAAGATTACTAAGGCACCCCTGGAGCTACTGTTAGAAATAACAATATGCAAACCGGTAGTGTTAGATTGGTGTATAAATGGACATCAACTAATATATCCAAATACTTTACAACCGAAACCAAAAGATACCAACACAACATTCCCAAACCTAGCAATAAATGCTTTGGTAGAACAACTGTCAATCACCAAAGCTAATTAATCAAAGCAACGTATGACATGGATACACCAAATGAACAGAACCATCATGCTACTACACAGTAACAGTACCCGCAACTACAAGACGTCATTACGTAACAAAGATTCATCGACCAGAAAAAAAGTCGTGATTAGAAATAACAGATACAACGCATATGAATTGCAAAAAATAAAGGAAGAAGTCACGAAAAAGTCAAACACAGACGAAAATAGTCTACAAAAACAAAATCATAAAAGAAGAGAATCGCAATACCGAATGATACAAATATTGTACAAAAAGAACAGAAAAAGATCACGAAATTAATAATAGAAATGAGACAGCTCTGGAAATAAAAGGCAGTAACAATAGTCGCAATAGTCCTATACACACACGTTCATTCAACATACAAGAGGCAGTAATACCTATGACAGCAGCAATAATCATAAACATGCTGCAATAGTAACAGAAGAACATATGACCTGATAAACAAAAACCTGTCGTATGATCTTTAAAACCACAATAGTAGAATGAAGTTGATAGAAAAAAAGATAATATTAATAAAAGAACTACTATCAGCAAATATTTCAGTGAATTTAATGGCTGTTCAAAATATACTGTATGTATGTGTATTCGCACGCACACGCGTGTATATACACGTTGGTTACAGCAAGCACGCAGTTACAAGTTCTCTTTTACTCTCTCACTCTCGTATTCTCTCACTCTCATTCTCCCCCTCTTTTTCTCTCTACGCACTTACATTCATTTTATCGGTCGCCGCGTTACGTGGCTTAGAACATCTCACACATTACACCAACCACGTCACTCGCTCGGCAATTAAATCACAGACAATGTGTATGATACGGTGATTAACAATAAATCGTCAACTAGCGTTACCTATATATAATTCGGGATAAATAAAAGTTATTGTACAAATTAATATTATGCATTCAATTATAACAAAAAAGGACACTGTATTTTTGTTTCTTTTTTTTTTCTCCGGTAAAGACATGCGAATGTACAAGTATATGCACGGACACTGCGGTTTATTTATTTCTTTACCTCATTCACCGCTCCCTTCGCCCATTTTCTCAAATTCGCCTGTGTGTATGTCTTGTAGCTCGACTTTTAAGCCATGCTCCGATAAAACATTTTCGTAAAAGTTTCATTTTGTTCTGTCTTCTTTATTTTTCTTTTTTCTCTCTTGCATCCATTGTAGATAACTGTAAAAGAAGTACACTTCTGTTACTCTGACGTCACACCTTCGCCTCCTTTTCGGTCGTCCTGCAGGCTCGCCGCAGCTGAAACATTATTGATCGTTTTAACATATATTGATCACTTGTTGTTTCATTCGGGGTTCGACAGTGATCAAAAAGAGAGTAAATACCAGTAGACTACATAACGTTTTCTTGATGATTCTTTTGGAATAACAGAGTTTCTTCGAAGATGTATTGTTTCAATACTTCTTTTGGAAGATCATCTAGCTCCATATCAAACTTAAACGGTTCCGCTGCAACCGGCTAAAAATTGGGTATATTATAAAGTTATCTTTGTTATTTGTACATTGGTGTTTACTGGTAAAAAATATATACTTCGTCATCTGGATCATAATATTGCTCTAAATACGGATGCGCAAGTGCATCTTCCACAACAATCCGTTTGTTAGGATTAAATGTCAACATTTTATCTAACAAATCCAAAGCTCGAAGATCAGCATCTGGAAATAAACTTGTCCATGGAACCTTTGGTTTAAATGGTAATGATTGAAGATAATTTCGTGCCTAAAATATAATTATTCAATGCAATCTATATCATTTTCTCAATGAAACAAAATGATATTAAACACAAAAGAATTACTAAACATAAAGAAACAATTAATACTTTTTCATTTATGATGCACTCAAGATCCTCAGGAGATGGTGATCCAAGAACTCCTAATATATGGTTCAGTTGGTCTAAGTAGTGTTTGCCAGGAAATATTGCTCTCCTTGAAAGCATTTCTGCAAGAATGCAACCAACTGACCAAATGTCTATAGACTTAGTATAGCCCTGCAAAATGGAAATGAGATTTAATATCTTATTACATTCGTTCTAAATTGAAATTGAACAATCCATTATTCATTTACCTTGGAATTAAGCATTATTTCTGGAGCTCTATACCACCTTGTTGCTACATATTCAGTAAGAAAACCAGCATGATTATGCTCTGGATCAGCAACTCTAGCTAAACCAAAATCACAGATTTTAAGGTCACATGTGGTATTTAATAGCAAGTTGCTTGGCTTCAAGTCTCTGTGTAGTACATTTGCAGAGTGAATGTACTTTAATCCTCTTAATATTTGGTAAAGAAAATAGCATATGTGATCATTACTAATAGCCTGAAAATAAAACAAGTTTAAGTATATTAATGTTCCTTTAAATAACTTTATTCATAGTCATTTATTATGCTGACCTGTGTTTTGAGAAGTTTATATAGATCAGTTTCCATTAGACATTGAACAATATATACATCTTTCATTTGTTCTATAGTAGGTGCCCTTAATATATCCCTTATATCTATTATCTAAAAGGAAAATGTAAAGTGAAAGTATATATTTAGAGTAGTTTTATACATATATATCTAACCAGCTAATACATATATATATACATCAAGTTACTCACATTTTCATGCTTAAACCTAGTCAAAATTTTTATTTCCCTTAATGTTCTTTGACTATATGTCTGATGCTCAAAGGGAGAAATTTTTTTTATAGCTACCTTTGTGTTTGTTACATTATCATAAGCAGATCTGTAAAAACAAATTCCAACATTTGAACCAACATTTGAAACAACATTTGAGAAATTACTCACAACTCTTTTTTTCTTCATTAAAACCTATTTCAATATTATGCATACAAAACATAGCAACATCAATAACAAAGGATGGTAGTGCAACCTATATACAATATACTGGTATCTCCTAATCTGAAACCACAATACAGGAAATGGTTCTACAATATTTAAAAGACCTCCTTTTTAAAAATTAAACATATGCTGGAATTTAATTCCCAAAATGTTATCAAGATTACAAGTTACAACTCCAAAATATTGAAAATAAAAATAAAGTATAAAATTTAATTAAGTAGTCATAATGGAATAGTAAAAGAATTCTCAACAAAGACAATTTGAAAAATTTTGCGCATGAAAGTTGGCCGCTTCTACGAAGATATTATTCGTCATCTTATTAACGGTACAATGATAAGACCGATAAGTGAGAGATAAGCAATGGAAAACAAGGAAGTCGTAACATTAACACGCAAGTGGACAAGGGTTTGAAAGGGTGTGACAACCGTGTTCAAAACTGGCGCCAAAAGACGACGATACATTACGATGAAAAGCACTTAGTAGCGGCTACAGACGATATCGGGGCAAAATCAAAATCTTTCGTATGCATCATGGAGCAAAAATCTAGTCATAAAATCGTGAAATCACTCGATGACTGTATTTTTGATTGTTTATCTTTCGGCCTGTCAGCTAGTCAATACGAGGTCGAATGTTTTCAGAAATAACGCGAGAAATTGACTCGAAGACACTTACACGACCATCCCGTAGGCACCCTCGCCCATGTACGATAAATTCGTATATCGTGGCCCAACCTCGAAAGTTTGTCCACGAACGACTTCGCAATTTGGATTCGCACTTGCAGAACCTTCACCCGCCATTTTGACAACTATTTTGCGGCTCCGGCGAAGTCAGAACAAGTCCTGCTTCTTAGCCGACTGGTCACGAACGACATTGCGATTAGATCGACTTACGAAGGAATTTTACGTGTTACAGTAGTGCTGCCTAGTGATCGGTTGTCAAGCACTTCAAATCGTATCGAATATGTTCATGTGGCGAACAATTCGAATCGCTTCGAATGGGATTTGGTACCCCAAAGCTCCCAAAAGTATTGAAAGTTTCGGAAAGTCTTGTCTTGGAAGTCTTGAAAGTATTCGATCATCGATCATGAGATTTCAGAAACGATCTCTCTTCTCCTTCTTTCTAATCTGATTGCTATGAATTTCGATATCGTTCAAATATTGAATTCTATTCTGTTATAAATACATTGTTATATTAAAAAATGTCGGGACAATAGAAAGTTTAAAATAGCTATTGTTCTTTCTTTACTTGCTTGCTTGATTTCTCTATAGAAATTTTTATGCATAAATACATGTATATCGTTAAGTTTCCTTTTTGTATTTTATTGCTGAATCATGCAGCTTTGAAATATACGAAATAACATTGGCAATGTAGAGAGCGCTACAGTTGCAATGCAATTAACTTTCTCATCTATAGTGATTTAAACTGTGACGAATTGTCAGTTTGCGATCTGTCGTTGCTGTGTTATTGTAGTGGTTTTGTATTAATAATTAAATTTTATAAAAGGAGTCCTCCAGAGCTATAAAACATTAAATATAATTAAACTACAATATGAATGCGCCTCCGACCTTCGAATCGTTCCTTTTATATGAAGGAGAAAAAAAGTAAGTATTACAAACCATTGGTTAACCAATTTAAAGGTTTTCATTAAAATGAAATACATGCATATGATTTTTCCTCTATTTATAGAATAATCAAAGAACAAGACACTAAAGTTCCCAATGCCGCGATTTTCACTGTTAATAAGGAAGATCATACCCTTGGAAACATGATACGCAAGTAAGTACATCTTTGCAATTTCACAAAAATTTATGTAATTTTTATAATATGGATATTATCAGCAGTTTCAATTGTTCATTAGTCAGCTACTGAAAGATCCTCAAGTCTTGTTTGCTGGATACAAAGTTCCACATCCATTAGAACACAAATTTGTAATTAGAATCCAAACTACATCAGACTATACGCCACATGATGCTTTTATGCATGCTATTACAGATCTCATAGCAGAACTCTCACTATTTGAAGAACGTTTTAAGGTAAAGAATAAATATATATCATGATTTGTTATGTGACTATAATATTGTGTGTGTAATATTTCAGGAAGCTATTAAGGAGAAAAAGGAAGGACTAGATTAAGTCGTATCTTTCTTCTTTTATATTTATAATTGTATATATGTAAGGGATTAATATGTATCTCAAGTTTTTAGATCATTAAGAGAACTGATTTACTTTAATAAGTACACTGAAAATGACTGGTATTTGTACATATGAATAAAACATTTGTACATATAAATAAAAACAAAAAAAAGATCTCACTCTTCATCTTAAATCAATTTTTCTTTCAAAAAATAGGAAACATAATAAAAAATCAGTTCTTGTTATTTAAAGTAAGTCATTGCTGTGTAATTTAAATAAATTTATGCAAAATGCTAAAATCAGTCTCTTACAATTTTATTTTTTTTAACTACAAAGTTTAGTTATAATTTATTAAATGTACATTTCAAGACAAGATTCAGATTTGAGACAAGATATCAACCCTGTATTAAAGCTTAAAGTTAAAAGGCAAGACAACGGTAAGTCATAGTAGTACAATTCTGCTGAAACGAATTTTGTACAAAGATTAATGGCAAAGAAAAACAAACATACGAAATAATAAATACTTACTTTCATTATATTTCAGTACAAATTTTTTTCAGAAAAATGTACTACCAATCATGTTGATATAAGTTCTAAGACATTGTGAAGAAACTCTGTGAACTAATTCTAATGGCTCGATCATTGAGTTTGTCAATTAAAGGAACTATTATTAAATGTGTGACGTTTTTTGATACTAAATAAATTATTAAATACAGTTACAGGTTGACATAAATAACTAGTATGTACATAATTACATTTGAATTTCGAACGTTTCTTGACGTTCGAAGTTTCGCATGGTATACGTTTAACTGTTCATTATATAAATAATAAACTATGCTCCCATTCTATAATATAATTCAGCAATGTATCATAAAATAACTTAGTCGTAAGTGGTAATAGAACTGGTATATGACTTTGTACTTTAACAATCACATGGAAGCGCAACGAATATACACAGAAAAACATTCTGGTGAACATATATAGACTTTCAAATCATAAATTTAACACGAGGAGCACACATTTCTCATCGAATTGTCGATGTATTTTGAATGGACACACATATTTCTATGCAGGAAGACATGCACAGAACTGTAGCATTAAATTCTTTTATATAAAAATATACTCTGCAAAAATTTTAACAGGTCTTTTCTTTTGTATCTAAGATCTTTGAGAAGCAATGAGATAGGTCAACAAATGACAACACGCCATTAAAAGGTTTCAGCATCATCGCAATCACGAGTATCATGTCCAAACACTGTAAAACAGGTAAAACAATCGTAAATGGAATTGGATAGAAATACGGAAAATTGTTAGACGGATTAGTGTGAGATATTCAGTGTATACTTAAAATAATAACGTATTAGTCTGTGTTAAGGTATTTGTCCAGTTTTTAACTAATATTTTCTAGGAATTAAAAAAGTCATTTAAAAGAATTTTAAACGCTTGCTTTTGTTCCTAGGAAAAAAAATATTATAAATGGATATGGAGAGAATTGCAATTCGCAAAGTTTTAAAGAATAAATTCTTACTTTCACAGTTTTCGCAGTACGGTCTTTCCACCGATGTTTTCTTCGGGGGCTTTACGACCTTTTCCGTATCTAGAAAGTCTTGAGCTTGTCGTGGGCAATCTTCCGTTTCGTGTAAATCAAATTGTTCACAAATATCACAGAACATACGTGGCGCAGCCATTCGTTTTTCTAATGTGGTTCTAAAATTAATTAATGAATATCATACCATTGTTATAACATAGGCTTATTTAAAAATTAAATATTACGAACTTGGTATACTCGTCAGCTTCATTGGCAGGTACTCCTATTTCAAGAACTTCAACTTTACATAGTAAAGCTTCGTTTTTACGTTGCATCTCCACTATTACAGAATTTAAGAAATCTATTTGACTTTTTGCTGTTTCATATTCCTCTTTTAACTTTATCATGTCAATATCTTTATCAACTGAAATTAATAATTTAGCTTTACAATAGAATTGAAAAATCAACAAAGAAGATTAATGAATTTTAAATAAATTTTACCCATATGTTGTTTCATATCACCTCCTGCTGCCTATAATATAAATGAAAATCTAGATATATTATATATTTATTTGTAGCAAATTTACATTAAATTGAAACTCAAGTACTTACATCGTAATTATTCTTTATGTTTTCACGAGTAAGTTTTAATTGACTCGTTGCTTCTGTCCATTTAGCAGTAATTTGTTTATTTTCTCTTTCCCTGAAATGTAAAGTCCATATAAACGTGTGAAGTATTAGAAAAGTATAAAGTTATTTTTTGTGTACCTACAAATTACTTTGTGCTTCTTTTAACTGTGCAGATTCCGTGGATACAAGGTTTAATTTTTCTACCAAATTTTGAATATTTTTCTCGGTTTCTTTTTCTTTAGTTTGTATGGTATTTGTTAACACTTCAATTTTCTTTTTCTGTTCTACAAGTAATCTTTCAAGAGATTCTTTACTATCAACTAGATTTCTATTTTCTTTAATCGCCTCACTTAGTTTACTTTGCATAAGTTTAACTTCTTCATTTTGCATCTGTTCATCCGTTTTCAATTTTTTCATTTGTGCATCTTCTAAGGCTTTAATTTGTGCTGTTAATTTATCGATTGTTACTTCTTTGTTATTCAAATCATTAACTTGTTTTTCTATCGTATCTTGAAGCGATTGTTGATGTTTTTGTAATTCAGAATTTTTCTGCATTGCAAATTCAAGCTCAGTTTGTTTAGCTTTCATTTCACATTCTAAAGTATTTTGTAATTTCATCACAGATTCTTCTTTGGAGCTTTTCAATTCTTTGATTATATGTTCTGATTCCTGAAGCATGTTATTTTTTACATCTAGTTCTTTTTGTATAGTCTCCAACTGTGATTCTAACGTTTTTATATTTTTCTCTAATTTTGATTCTACAGATTTTAGATTATTTTCTAAAGAAATTTTTGTGTCCGTGATGTTAGATATTTCCTTTTCCTTCTTTGATAGCATTTCTTGTAATTTTTTCATTTCCTCTACATTATCCGTTTGTTCCCTTTGAATAGACGCAACAGTGTCATTAAGCTTCAAAATTTGTGCTTCAGTGTGTTCAGTTTCCTTTTTCATTTGTACAAGAGCATCTTCTTTGACTTTAATCATTTCCGCAGCAACATCTAGTTTATCCCTCAATTCTTTTACTTCACTGGACATACTATCTAACGACGTAGTAAGATTTTTGTCAGTAGCTTCTTGATTAGCTATCAAAGCTTCGTTCGTTTTCTGTAATTCTTCATATTTTTTTTGTAACTCATGCAGATTAGAATCTTTTTCTGTCATTAATGATTCTAATTTCGCACGGTTTGTTGCTTCAGCTTCGAGTTTTTCTGTCAATTCTTCAATTGTCCAACGATTGGCACTTTGATTAGCTTCTAACTTAGATTTGATCTTTTGTAAAGTCTTTGTTGTCTCTTGAGAAGTAGTTAATTCCGTCTTTATGTTATCAATCACTTTCTGAAGAGAAGACACCTCCTCTTTATGTGTATTTTTTAAAGTTTCATGTTGTTTTTGTAGATTAAGAATTTCCTCTTTGTTATTTTTTAGTTCATTTGAAAGATTCAATGATTCCTGAGTTCTTTCTTTAAGTTCTTCTTTAATGTAATCATTTTCTTTTATTTGTTTTTCAAGTTCTACATTTTCCGTTTCAAACCCTTTTATTTTGCTAGATAACTCCACGTTCAATTTCTTCTCTTTTTCCAATTCAGATTTATTATTTTCTAATTCTGAGCGTTGTTCTTGAATTAATGTATTAGCTTTGTTTAATTCTGTTTCGATATTAATCAACTTCAACTCTAATGATTTGAGCATAGTTTCATTTTTGAATGCTTTATCTTTAAATTCATCAAGTTCTTTTTCTTTTGTTCGTAAATCCTCGTTGTATTTCATAAGTTGCTCCGATGAATCAGCGGAAGTACTTATCAAATTTGCAATATCAGCTTCCTAAATATAAAACGAATAATTAAATATTTTACATCTAAAAATTAAAAATCTATATATCTATTAAAAATCTAAATAAACTTTAAATAAAGTAACTATTTACCAATTTTTCCTTTTGAGAAGTGACTTGCGACAGTTTATTTTCTGTACCAGCAACTTGTTGATTTAATTGTTCTATATTGCTTTGAAGTCCTTGGAATTCATTCTCCAGATTTGTTTTAGTTTGTTCCGATAAAGTAAGTGCATTTTGTAAATCTGAAACATAGACAACAATAATCTTAATTTAGCGATACAATTACTGAAATTTGATATTTATATGTTTTACCTAAAGTCTTTTGTGTGAGATTTTTTATTTCTTCATCTTTATTGGCAAGGATCGACTTCAATTCAAGGACATCATTTTCTAATTTACTGAGTAATAATGATTTCTGAGATATATAAGCATTTGCTTCTTCTATACATTTTGCTTTCTCTTCAATCTGGCCCTGATAACGTTTAGTTAATTCTTCTATTTCAGCTGCAGTTGTTGAACGAAGTTCTGATAGTTCCTTTTCTTTCACTTTCAACTCTTCGCTTAATTTCTTCAATTGGACTGAGGAATTGGCCTCGGTAGCCATTAAGGAAGCGATATCATGTTCCTAAAATAGTAAAAAAAATTATATTTAGTAGTAGAACATAATATTTATAGAAAGCAGTACTTACCAACTTCTGCTTTTCCTGGACTATTTTAAAACTATCATCAGCAATTTTTTCGTACTCTTGGATTTGTTTAGAAAGCGAATAATTCTTTTCTTCCATTAACTTGAGCCTTTTGTTTAGTTCTGTAAATTAATTTAAGTAATATAAGTTAAGATTACACAGCTTTCTAGTCTAGTACTTGGACATCTTGTATTGTGAACATACCTTCCAGTTTCTTTAAAGCAACAGATAATTCTTCATCTTTTTTCTTATTTATATCAATTTGCGTGGATAGTTCAACCATCAGTTTTTCAGTCTCAGATATTTTTTGATCAAGCTTAGTAGAAACTTCTTTAATCTTCGAGTCTTTCATATTCAATTGTTCATTGAAAGACTCTGAAAGTTTGCTAATTTGCTTCATATTCTCAGTCTTAAGATTCTCCAATGCAACATTTTGTACTTCTAACTGTTTTTTTGATTGTAGT